AGCGGTTAACAGTGACTACACACCTACTGTGTGCCGGCCGCTGTTCTGCGTCTGGCTCGCACTAACAGTCCTCATAACAAACAGCCCCTTGGGGATCATACCAGCATTATACCTTTTTATAGATGAGGAAACCGAGGGGCCGGGAGGTTAAGTAACGGGCCCAAGGACACACAGCTCATAAGTGGCACATACGGGTTTTGACCCCAGGCCGCTGGCTTCAGCATCTCAGTAACGGGTTTAGCACCGAAACTGCTGCTCCAGTTAGAACGGGTCACCTTGTAGTGGGCCATCTGGCCTTTACCAGTGTGGCAGCGCCAGGTGAGTGGGGGCATGCTGTAGGAGCTGGCCAGGTCAGCTCTGACGCCGGCCCCTTCAGACTTTTGCAGCTCCCTCGTTCGATGATAAGATCTTGGAGGTGGTGGCCGTGTTCGGCAGTATGCAGATGGCTGTCTCTCGGGTCATTAAGCTGCAGCATCACCGGATTGCCCAGGTACTGGAGGCGGGTGGGACCCGGAACAGTCTGGCTTACGCAGATTGGAGGTGCGGGGCCGGCCAGAGCCAGTGTCGAGACTTTGCCTTCCCCGACGAATGCACCCTGGTGCACAGGGCCCAGGAGACTGGGCGCGCCCCCAGGCTGCCAGCCCAGCCTCTGAGTTGGTCAAGAGCCCCTTCGCATCTGCTTATTTGACAGTTAAAAGTACTTTCAAAACTGGGGCCAACTTGTACCCCACCTGAGCCCCCTGCCTTGACTTTCTCTGTGGGTGCCACCTGTGCCCTGCCCCCTCTTGCTGGGATGGGATGCGTTGAGACAGGCCTGGCCTCAGCCCGCGTCTGAGCTTGGGGACGGAGGCTGAGCACGTGTGGCCTGTGGAGAAGGTGTGGGAGAGAGCTCCCTTCCTTCCTTCTGGTGACGGGTCAGGAGCGAGTGTCTGTCTGTGGGGCTGGGGAGGGCAGCACCGTTACGCACACAGACTTGGGGAGGGGCTGACGCACCAGCTGACCCAAACTGTGGGCCGTGTTGTCCAGTCCTTGCCACACCAGTCTGTCCGCACAGTAGGCTGCTTGAATTTCAGTTTTAACTCTTCGTCAGCATTTTTTTTTGTTGAAAAGAAGAGCAGCTCGTCATCAAGCACTCACTGGTCGTTGGTTCTGAGCGTATTCACATGTGCCCAGGGACCCAGCAGCTCTTGGAAGCCATGAGTCCCCACCATGGGCCTGGTGCTCTTGTCTGATCACCTGTTTCTCCTCCCCGTGATCACAGATGCAGTGCTGGGTGAGGGGACAGTGGGGGTGGGGGGTGCTGGACAGGATGCTCTGACCGCAAGGTCTGCCGGGGGATGGAGTCACCCCCGAGGTCAGCCGGCGTTGCTGGGGTGCGTAGGACAGGAAGGCCACAGTGCCGAGACGGTGCCATACGGCTCAGCTTGGTGCACAAGTAACAGGCTGCTGTTTGCTCAGTGTCGCACAGTGAAGATTTCCATCCTGGGGGACGAGGGCGTGCCTGTGCAGGTGGACGGAGAGGCCTGGATCCAGCCCCCGGGATACATTCGGATCATTCACAAGAACCGGGCGCAGATGCTCACCAGAGACAGGGTAAGAGGAACACCTGCTCCCCTCACTCAGTGAGACCTTGAGTTTTTAATGTTTCGTTCTAGGAATTACATTTTTTTTAGACACGAGGATTAAGCCAAAAGGTGATAATTCCTGGGCCCGTCCCCTTCCCCAGGGCAGGGAAGAGTCGTGTCCCCATTCCCGGCTATCGGCCTGCCGGTGCCCGGTTGGGACGGTTGCCGTTAGCCGCGCTCCTCTCGAGAGCGGCAGACGTGCAATGCCGGGTTCTGCGCCCTAGGCATTCGAGAGCACCCTGAAGTCCTGGGAGGACAAGCAGAAGTGCGAGCTGCCCCGCCCGCCGTCCTTCTCGCTGCACGCGGAGACCCTGTCCGAAGAGGAGGCCACACAGATGGACCAGTTCGGGCAGGCGGCGGGAGCCCTCATCCACAGGTGGGCTCTGGCCTCCCTCTGGCGGTCAGCGCCCCCGGACCTCAGTGCCGGTCGGTCCGCCTGCACGAGGCTGAGCGGGCTTCCTGCTTGCCGTGGCTTCGGTTCGTTCCCACTGGCCATCTAGGGCCGACAGGCATCTTCAGAGCCAGCTCCCAGATCCGGACACCGACCCCGGGTTCCTCGGGACAGTCCCCTCCCTGTTCCACGCTGTTCCCAAGAGGCAGCGCCGAAGGCGTCTCCTTTCCCTCAGCCTCTGAGGAGCGGCTCCTGGAGCCGCTGTGGCCCTCCAGCGCAGCGATCACCGCTCTGTCCCCCGTCAGTTCTCCACACCCACCTGGTGCGTCTGCGCCGTGTGCCTCTCGCTGGCAAGGTCGCTTCAGCCTGGTGGCTTGTGCCCTCTCAGTCACCTCATCCGGTGACTCTGCAGCCAGTCTGGGTCGGTCTGTCACCTGTACTTCACCTCCCTGCCTCACTTCGCGCCCTGACGGTGCATGCTGGCCCGGTGCTCCTGACTGTCCCTCCGTGCTGCTGTCCCCGTGTCCCCCTCCGCCCTCGCCAGGAGCACTGCCGGCCCCTCTCACGCCCTTTCCCCAGGTGTCAGCTGTAGCTTGTCAGCTGTCCTGGGTCCCCCACGGGCATTTCTGGTTCAGTGTGTCCCTTCTGGCTCTGGGTCCTTCCCTGGTGGCATGTCCCGTGCTCTGTGTTCTCCATCTCAGGTAGCTGGCGCCACCCCTGCCCCCCGGGTCTTCAGCCAGTTCTGCCCTCATTACCTTACGTCGTAAGCATTGGTCCAGAGCCTTGCCGCACAGCAGGCTCTGACTGCCTGCTGTCTTCATGCCTGTGTCCTGAAAACCTGTGGCAGCCCCAGTGGTCTGCTGGGAAGGTGGACTTGCCATGCATCGCTTTGTTTCAAGTCTGTCAACAGCCCCCCGTTTTCCCGAGACTCCGGACAAGTCGTTCTCTACACCAGCTCAGCCCACCGCGCGCCCCTGACTTGTGCTCGCCCTCTGCCCCCAGAATGTCCCTCAGGCACGGGGCTGCTGCCTGGGGCTGTGTCCCAGGATTGTCCCCCTCAGAGGCGGGTTCTCTCATCCCACTTACAGCGCATGGTAGGCACTGTCTCTTTGCGGGAAGGGTCAGGGGTCTCCCCATGCCAACCTGCAAACCGTGCTGACCATCTGCTGTTTCACAAGGCATCTCGTTTGGGGCATTTTCTTCCCTGGTTGAGTTCCTGGAGAGACCTGGATTTGGACATCAGGTTTCTCATGTGAGACCTCTGTGCCACTTGTCAGGAAATGATCGGCGAGGTCGTTCCGCGCTGGCCATCGTGGCCAGGCCCGGGGCCCCTGGGGGCCCTCCGGGCAGACCTTGAACTTACATGCCCACAAGGTGCTGCTGCGGCGCCCTGCTCTCGGCCCTCACGGGTGCCGTGTTTGTCGCCCTCTCCAGCATCCGGGAGATCGCGCAGTCCCACCGGGACATGGAGCAGGAGCTCGCCCACGCCGTCAACGCCAGCTCCAAGGCCATGGACCGCGTGTACAACAAGCCCAGGACCGCTGAGGTGCCTGCGCCCTTCTGGCCCTGCCCTCTGCACCGGAGCCCGCGGGCCTGCTACAGGGTATCTCTTCTGGTTCCTGCAGGGGCTGACCGGCAGCGGTGTTCTGGACATGGTCAACAACTTCAGGGCTCTGCGCAGCGAGACGGAGCTGCTGCTGGCCGGGAGGGTGGCCCTGGTGAGCTGGGCGCGGGCTCCCGTGGGTGGGCGACTGGGCGCAGAGGGCAGCGCGTCCTGGCCCAGAGTTCCTGGCCTCAGGAAGCCCGGCCCGTTGTGGGCGGGGTCTCGGGCCACGTGACCAGGCCACGTGGCGACCACATCACCTGCAGCACTTCGGAGTCCTGTGGACAGGAATGTCTCTCACTGTAGACAGAGCTCCTTAGACGTTGTGGTGGGGCACTGGCAGCCCCGCCAGCCTGGCTGAATTAGCGGCCCCAGGGAGGCACGGCGGGCCCGAATCGCGGCAGCTAGCCCAGGGAGAGGCCCAAGGGCCCAGCCACCTTCTCGTGTTAAAAAATGAGGACGCGGAGGGCCGAGAAGGCAGAGTGACAAGCTGAAAATCACAGCTGGGGACTCGCCCAGAGGTCTCGTTTTCATACCCTCTCCTCTTCCTCCCAAAACACCGTGCCGTCCCAAAGTGGTACAGCTGCTGTCGTGGCTTCTGACAGCACCTCCTGTACGTGGCATAGGCAGGCGGGGCTGTCCCCTCTCCCTCTGACAGGGGGTCCCAAGGAAGCAGGCGAAGTGTCAGGCCCGCTGGTGGGGTTTTCAGGCAGGCTTGGTTTGCTCCATTATTTATGATGAGAGTTTAATTCTGTCACTGTTGCTTCTTGGACGGGCCCCTTCGCTGCTCCATGACTCCGTTTCCTCAGAGCTTTTCATAAGAACTCCCCTGGGGCAGACCTCGCGCTGGCACAGGGCTGAGCTGTCACCCGGCTCCTCGCTCTTGTAACCAGTGTCCCTCTTTCCTCCTGCTGGAGCAGCAGCTGGACCCCCCTCAGAAGGAGCGGCTGGGGGCCGCTCTCGCCGAGATGGACCAGCAGCTCAGGAAGCTGGCAGATGCTCCCTGGCTGTGCCAGCCCACGGAGCCCAGTGACGAAGAGGTATGTGGGTCACGGGGCTTCAGTGTGGCCATCCCTGGACTCAGTGGCTCTCCCTTTGGTGTCCTGTGTGCGGCTGTGGATTAGGATGTGTGGGCCTTGCAGCCCCCATTAAGGCTTCTCCAGGCTTGTCTGTCAAAACGCCTTCAAGGCGGGAGAGGCTGGCAGGAGGAAGGAGTTGGGAGTTGGTATCGAGAATGACCCTTGATGACTGGGGCACCTGTTGCCCTTGGAGACAGAACTGCGGGCTAACCAGGAAATGGATAGAGAGAAGGCTGGGCCACCCTCCCATGCCCCACTATGGGGACACTGGTCAGATAAACGGCAGTTTCTTAGAGGTTTATTTTTGACAGGGACAGAGTTGATGTGTTTGACTCACAGTCACGCTTTTCTTTGACACGTGTTTAGAGACCCCAGTTTGCCACAGGTGCTGCAGCTGGGACAGATAGGAGCCTGGGCACATTGCTCCACCTCCAGCGGCAGGAGGGCAGGCAGGTGGAGCCCTGGAGAGGCGCTTGTCAAGCGCTTGGTTTTCATGAGCAGCGTCTGGATGAAGGCGAGTCCTAGTCTGCCTTTCTCTCAGGAATAGAACAGAGCGAACCAGGAGAAATGTTCACCTTAGGGTGGCGCATCTCAATAGATGAAGTGCTAGACCCTGAAGGTTGGGTGCCCCTGCTGCCAGCTTGGCGTGAGAGAGAGAATGTGTTGGCAGCAATAGGGTGAGGGGACAGAGGAGGGCGCGCCTGCCATCCGTGTACCCTCCCCTGAGTATGCAGGCGGCCGCTGACAGACGCAGACGCTGCGTGGAAAGCTGACTCGGAGGCCGTCCAGCCCACCAGGCAGCAGCACTCAGCAACCTAAGAATGAGGGCATTTTGGTATAAAAGGCCAAGCTTGTTACAGTTGGTTAAATAGTTAATTATAAATATGATACTACTTTGATTTAAAAGAAAAGTGCTAAAATGATGTGTAAAACATTCAACAGATGTAACAATAACGTAGCCCCGTAATTCCTGATGAAATTTTCAAAGACCGTGAGCTGGACAGTGAGCTGTGAAGAGACGACAAGGACAGAGGAATGAAAGCCATTAAATTCCTCCCCTGAAAGGGGAAGCAAGTTAAAAAAAAGTTCTTGACTTTGATAATTAGGAAAATGTAGAATCAGTAATGTTTTTGAAATACTTAAAGGTAGTTTCTGGTAATTGAAAGGATTTATGTCTTTCTAAATCACTACAAAAGAGAAACAAAAATTATATTTACAAGAAAATAAGAGACTAGTAATAAAGATGTAGTTAACAACATGAAAATAACAAGAAATATGTAGATTCTTCTCTTAAAAACAAATTCTCAGATCGTATTAAAAAAAGAGCCCCGTTTTCTCTTCCATATCCCCAATAAAAACTTATGACACAGAAAGATTAAAAATAAACCATTTCAAGAAAACACAGTAAATTCCAAAGTAACAGTGTTATCATAAAAATAAAATTACATAGTTAATACAATAAATGATAAAAAGTGAATCACTCTGTATTAGTAAAATAATAATATCTATTTTTTGTCTTCTTGCTTTATCAATTACTTTTGTACTCTCTGGCCGTGAATATAGATGTCTCAGTTTATCTTTGTGATTTCGTGTATCTTTGCTTTTTGTATTTTGAGGCTAGGTTATTGGGTGCATATAGGTTTTATCGTTGTGTAAAGACCTTTAGTAGTTCTTTTTATTTTCAAGTTCACTTATTTGGTATATTTTTTTCATGTGTTTACTTTCAAGCTTTATTTGGAATGTCTCTCTTATGAATAGCATATTGCTAAATGCTGGATTTTTATCCAGTTTGGTACTCCGTTTTAATTGGAGAGTTCAGTCTATTTACATTTGTTTACATTTTCAGTGATTAGTGATATATTTAGACATGTTTTTATCATAGAATTGTACTTTGTATTTGTCCCACTTTTTATTTCTTTTAATTTCTCCCTTTCGATTGATGAGTCTGTGCTTCCACACAATTCTGTCCCCTGTAGTAGTTTGAGGATATTTACTTTTTGACTGTTCTTTTAGTAATTACTCCCCAAATTTTAATTTGCATTTACATGCATAAAATGTTTAAAGCAAAAACTTCTTGAAATGAAAGTGTGAAAATAGGAAAATCATTTTTTTGGAAGCAAAAAAGAGGTAGCAAATCTATGAGCTGGTTCTTGGAAAGTAAAATAAATAAGAAAAAAATGAAAATGAAGTGATGAAGGGAATGTAACAATAAGAAAATTTTGTATTCAAAGAAATGTTAATACATTTGAAAATGTTGACGAAACTTGATTTTTTTCAGGAAAAACGGATACTATACAAATTGGAATCTGAGGACATTTTAAAAAGAATAGCCACGTAACAGCTTGAAAAAATATTACCTTCAAAGAAAACATGTCAAGGAATATGTAATTTCCATATATAAGGAACTGTATCAAAGCTAGAAAAAGTTGGACATTGTCCCAGTTCAGTTTTCTGAATTGTGGGAAAACACATAAGCTTTACCGCCTCCGTCAGGTCAGGCGTTTTCACAGTGTCATGAAGCAGATCTCCAGAACGCTCACAGTTCATTTTTTAAAAGTAGAGCATCGATTCCAGAATTTAGTATTATCAGTAGGTTCACACAAATTGTTTCTTTAAATCAAATAGTTGATGAAACAAATTCTTTTTAAAAGGATTTCAGCTGGAAAGTACAGAGGGTTAAAAGGCTATTTCCCATCCCTTGGGGGAACACTGGCTTTAGGTGGGAGGGGAATGGATGGGAACAGCTGGGGGGTAGCGGGGGATCTTCCGGTGACATCCTCCTCCTGCCTACCTGTCCGTGTCCCCGGCCTCGGCAGCTCCAGAGCGGGGAGGGAGCCAGGAGGTCAGCTTCCTGCAGGACAGCTGGTTTCTCTGCAGGGGAAAGAAGAGGGCAGGGAAAGACTGAGAGCCACAGGAGCCGAGTTGTCACTCTTGGACCTCGATAGGGTCCCGATTCAAACAAACCAGCTATGAGGATGAACCTTTACAGCCGTCGGAGATTGCACACAAATGAATTCTCTAGATGTAATGGATTCTTAGTGGCGTCGGTGTGATCACGGTGCTGTGATTATGTTTTTAAAAGAGTCTTCTTTTAGAGTTGCTTACTGAAGAGTTTGTATCTGAAATTTGTTTATTTCATAAGGCAGGGAGACAAAGTAAGATAACACGTTAATCACCCTCATTGCACTAGTCTCCCCATCTTATGATTGGATGAAGATATCCATATTAAAAGTTGGAAGTTTAGTGCTCACGTACGCATTAAAAAAAATAAATCGTGAAATCCGGAATAGGATTCTGTCTAGATTAACAGAGGATTCCGCCTCCCCCGGCAGCCGTCCCCTCCTGCGGGAAGTGCCGAGGAGCGAGGGGACAGGTGGCTGTGATGGTCGCCTGGAGCTCCGGGTCTTTAACAGACCAGCTGTTAGAACCGATAATCGATAATTTTGCCAAATATAAGAAGTTCGTAAAAATCTTTCTTGAGTACTGACAGTGATGGATGAGAAAATGTTGCCAGAGGTCGCTTTCCTGGTGGAAAACTTAAAAAAACGTAAAGTCCGTGATAAGTCCAGGGAGGCGCCGCGAGGGGCACATGGGGACACTGGGGTGGTGCGGCAGCATGTTCCCGCTGGGGAGTGTTTTCTCAGGGCGACCAGACGCCCCGGTCAGATCTGAAAGTGTGTCATAAAGCCGCGGGTCAGTGTGGGGATGTCGGGAGGCAGGACCCTGGGGCAGGAAGAACTCGGCACACCTGAAAAATAAGGAAACTAAGCTTTATTTGTGAACGTGGTGGGGTGCTGCACGGACACGAGCCGTGCACACAGGAAGGGTCACAGACCCGTCAGGACAGTCCAAGTGACGCTGGGGCAGCGTTGACTCTGCCAGGCCGCTGGAGGTGTCTATGGGGAGATGGCCACCCCGGGATGATGTCCCCATGCCGCCCATGTTCCCCTTCCTGAGATTCCTCAGGGACTAAATCCGAGGAAAGCACCAAGTGCAGGAAAAGCTCATTTAGAAAGATGCTGGTCATGCTGGTCCTCAGAGGCGGCTCGTGTGACACCAGGAGCCCTGGCTGAATAACTCGATCGTATTCCGAGAACGGTGCCGATATCTAAATGTTTACAGAGCTTTTTCACGACAGGAGAAATGCACGTTATGAAATGAAAACAATATGAAAATACACACTGATCACTGTGAAACCTGTTTTAAAAGGCATTGAAAATAGATACAAGACTGAAAATTGAGGAAAAACACAAGTAAATCTGGAACAAAGCATGTTTTCCCAAGCCCCGGCCACCTCTCCGACAGGCGAGACTCGGGCCCTGGTGACTTGGGGTCTGATTCTTCCGTTTCTCACTTTCCACCCACAGAACGTGACACTGGATCTTTCCAAACGCAGCCGCAGCGGGAAATTCCGCCTGGTGACCAAGTTCAAGAAGGAGAAAAACAACAAGAACAGAGAAGCTCACGGCAGCCTGGGAGCCCCGGGTACCGCCCCCCTGGCCTCTCCCTGGGTCTTGCGGCTCCTCGCGCGTGGTCCCTGGGCTGTGACCCCGGTTGTGGCCTGCGCCGAGCTGGCCATCTGTAGCTGCAGAGCTGACCCTCGCCCTCCTGCTCTGCGCTGGCTGCTGACCGTTGTCACTCCCGGCCCTGAACTTACTCCCCATGCAGACTCTGGGTGACTGGCCGCAGAGCCACCTACCTGCCCTAGATTGGGGGAGCGAGGTGGGGAGGAGGACAGCAGAGCTGACAAGACAGAGACACGGAGCTCACACTCGGGCCTGCTTCCTCCGAGGGGCTGCTGACTGCAGTGTAATCGGTTCATTGATCAAGGCCCCCTGGAACCTGGGCCACCAGCTACTGTGGGTGGTGAAATCGATAGAAAATGACCCTAAGGCACGTTTTGCCTTTGGGTCATCAAATTGGGGCTTAAAACCTCTGTCCGAAGGGTTGGCCCTGAGCACAGGTGTCCCTAGCACTCGGTGCCGGGCGGCCCTTTGGGGGTGTCGGCTGCCAATCAGGGTAGCTCCTTTTGATTTTTCTTCTTCTGTTTGTCTAGAAATTGGGGTTTTTTCAATGGTGGTGGCTCTGACCACATGAAATGACTGTGTGTCTCCTTTCCTGCCGTGGCCCAAAGTGACATGAACCCTCTGTAAGGTGGAGGGGAGCTGGCTTCAGCGGCACAGTCAGCTCCGTCTGCTCTGCAGTCCTCCGGGGACACAGGGAATGTCCTGAAGGCAGATGGCGGACCCGGCAGGAACAGACAGCAGCCCCGCCGCAGCTCGCTCCCGTGAGCGGGCGGCTCCCCTGCCGCTTTCCGAACAGCTCGGGCAGTGCCTGTGGCTGGGTGGCGGGCGCCTGCTGCTGGCATCTCAGGGTCCTGGCTGCTGGGGCATGTGGGGCGTTTTGGGGTGCTGGCTGCCGCCTGCCTGGCCCTGGGCCCTGGGCCCTGACCGCGCTCGCGTCTCCGTCTCCGACAGCTCATCTTTGGGGCACGGAGGAGGTTGCCGCCTGGCTGGAGCACCTCAGTCTCTGTGAGTATAAGGACATCTTCACACGGCACGACATCCGGGGCTCCGAGCTCCTGCACCTGGAGCGGAGGGACCTCAAGGTACTTCCACAGCACCGCCCGGGGACCCACACCTGGGCTTCCTCGTGGCTCTGGCTCTGTCCCCTCCCCCAACATGGCTATGTCATAACATCAGGTTTCTCCACGGTTCTTAGACCTTTGTGCACGACCCAGGGTGACATGTGATGGTGGCCAGGAGGCCACCCCTTTCCCCGCAGTGATGTCTCCCCTCATCACAGCCAGAAAAGGCTGGGGCACACGTGGGGGCCTCGCTTTTCTCAGCCTGACTGGACAGCGAGCTGTTTGACGCAGACTTGGGGGGGCGCGGCCCTATGCTCAGTCAGACTGACGAGCTCTCTGACGATGGGGGACCGGCCCACTAGGGTTCCGTCTGGTAGCTGCTGGCTGTGTGGCGGCTCCTCTGGTGCAGTCCATGCCCTTAGTGGGCCAGCACCTCCCACCACCTCGGGACCGGAGAGGCGGTGACGTGCCCAGGTCTGGTGGCCTGAGCTCCTGGAGCCTGGCTGTGCCCCGGGCACTGGCTCTTGGGGCACTCGGCCCACTTGGCGGCAGGCCTGCGCCTGGTCTTCGTCTCGTTCAGCGGCGGTCCCCAGGAGGGGCGCGGCGGCGTCTGCGTGCCGTCGTCCGTGTGCCGTTTCCGTCTCGTGTCGCCATTGCCACCGTTTCCACCTCTGTCTGTGTCCAGTGTCGCTCGGCCCGGCGTCAGGGCGGCTGTGTTCTCGTTGCAGGACCTCGGCGTGACCAAGGTGGGTCACATGAAGAGGATCTTGTGTGGCATCAAGGAGCTGAGCCGGAGTCCCCCAGCCGCCGAGGCCTAGCCTCGGCCCTCGCGGCCTGCGTCCTCCGCTCCTCCCGTGACTGAGGCTGGGGAGCGTGTGGCACGGCTCCTGTCCCTTCTCATGGTGCTACTCCCTCTGCTCGCGACAGGAAGCCTCCCAGACGCCGTTCCGGGCCGCGGCGGGGTCTGGAGCACACCAACGCAGCTACCTGGGGACATGCGCCTTTTCCGCCTGGCGTCATGGGGGGACAAACTGTGCTGCCCTCGGCTCTCGCCGACACTGCATTCCGGTGGGAACGGCCTGGCCGGGCTGCGCGGGACTGTCCTGTGGCTGCTGTCCGCGTGCTTCAACAGCACGTCGCGTGGCACCACCTCCCGGGCGCCCGGTCCGCAGCCGCTCCGTGGTTCGCCACAGCAGCCCCGCGAGGCCGCACACAGCTGATGTCCCGTCTGTCAGGAAGGGCTTTCCCAAGGGCCCGCCCTGGCCTGGCTGCGGTGTGGGTGCCTTTCCTTTCCTGTCCACTTTAATTTGATGGAAGAGAAAGGAAAACTTGTTCCTCCTGAATCCGGTCTGCAGGTCACCGTGTCCTTGGGCTGATGAGCCCCCTCCCCATTTGCCTCAGGTCCCTCCTGAGCTGGGGTGCTCTCTGGGCTGGGAGTGCCTGTGTCCACATGAGTTTGATTTTCTGTGGAGGGAAGTGTCCTGAGCACCATCCAGTGGGACAAGCTGTTGCCAGGAGAGTGGCCCTGGTGGCAGTCTGAGGTCACTCCAAAGCCTGTGACCCTGTGGGTGGCCTCATCTCAGACTCCCAGTCCCCATGCCTCTGGAGTTGTCAGCGGCCCGTGCGGCTTGAGCCCGCAGCCCCCGGGCGCTCATAGCTTAATAGCTCTGACTTGCCACGTGCTTTGCAGGCTCCCCGCTGGTCCCCTGATCACCACCAGGCCCCATCTCTGGTCTGGGTGCTCCCACTGGTGGTCCTGGGTGCTGGGCTTGGGCCAAGGCCCTGCCCCAAGGCTCTACGACCCTCCCCGTGCCTGCTATGGCGTGGCAGCGTTGGGGTTTGGGGCGAGAGCCCCACCTGCTCTGTACGTCCCCTGAGCCACCCCATTGGAGGTGACACTGGGCAGTTGTGCATTTTTCCCGCCCTGTGAAGGTGAAGAAAGAATCCAAGCACCAAAAGTCACTCGAAAGTACAGATCATGGGGCATGGGGACCCGTGCCAGCGGTCCCAAAGTTGGGGCTGCCCTGTCAGTTGAAGCGGGAAGCGCCTGGAATCTGGGGTTCCCAGGCTCCTGGGCTGGACGGGCTGGACAGGCTAGACGTAGGGGGAGGCGATGGGGGGTTGCGCAGGCAGCAGCACAGCCCCAAGCCATCACGCCCTCCCCTTGGTGAAAGCTTGGGTTGGAATCAAGCATGGTGTTTAATATGTCGCCAGTGATTAAAGCAACGCTGTTTTTGTTAAAGCCGTTTTCCTGATTCTAGTAAGTTAGAAGTGAGAGGAACAGCCATGAGTGTCGCATGAAACTGTCGGTGAAGGGCCTGCATCTCGTTCGTGGTGGCGTTTCTGTTGCTGCCCTGCCCGCCCTAAGACCCCTGCTGTGTGGAGGTCCCTCGGGCTCCCTGGGGTCTCATGGTCCTGTCGGTGTGGAGGGAGGGAGGGAGGGGGGGTCCCTGAACAGTCTTGGAGTAAAGATTTTGTGTCCTCGGGTGGGGCTTGCCCTCATATTTATGATCTTAATTTATACAGCACCCACCGTGGGAGCAAATGCCTCCTGTATTGCTATGTACATAGTCCACATCCAGGGGTGTAAATAAGTCGTTCTGTGTGTAAGTAAAACAAGCCTGTTTTTGACCCTCCATTGTCAGATTTGTCATTTCTTGTGCTTTGACATAAAATATAGGTTGCCAAAATCCTTCCAAACTGGATTCAGAATAATATTTTCCAGCTGCTCTAAAAATAAGCTGAGTTGATGGTAGGTGAAAAGCGAAACAGAACGCCATTGTTCTTTTAGGGTGTGGGTTCAAGGATCTGTTGAATTAAAAGCTTGGCGAGGAGATGAGGCACTGAGTGGAGCGAGGTTCTCATATTTGATCCCCGCTGGCCTTGCCTGGGATCAAACTTAGGATGGGTCATTGCAGTTATTGAGCTAACCTCCTCAACCTTTTATATGTAACTAAACAGGCAGCTCTTCTGCCTCTGTTGAGCCATGGTGCCTTTATTCCAAGGGAGCTGCCTCTTCAAGTTCAAGGTCACTTTAATTGCGCCACCCCCCGCCCCCCTTCTTGGGGTGAAGGTGGGGCCTGGGATCATGGAATTGGAAATCAGGCCGGCAGGGAGCAAGAGGGCCGCGTGGCTTTCCTGCATGGAGTTTTCCTCCCCAGCAGCTTGTCCCTCCTTGCTTACAGAGCCTGTTTGTCCTGGTGTGCACCTGCCTCCCAATGACCGGCTAGGGCTAGGGTCAAGCCTCACGGTTACGGTATGGCTGCCACCACTCCAGGCATCACGTGTCTAGTATAAGGCGTGTATGAGCAGGTGGTTATATCTTCTATGTCTCTTTTTAAGGTTTTACTTATTTAGAAGCAGACCTCTCCTAACGTCTCATTGTTTAGAATTTGGTCACATACTCATGAGTAAGTCAGTGCAAAAGGAACGTGGGCCATGCCAGCGATGACTGACCGTGATGCTCAGGGGCTTAGCACATTTACCATATTTGATACCAGGCACTGGCCTAAGTATTTCACACACGTCACCTCATCTGTTCCTCCTGGCAGTCCTGCCAGGTGGGTGTCTGCGTTTTCACGGATGAGGAAAGGTTCACAACTTGTCCCATGTCCTGCAGCCGGCATGTGGCAGAGATTGGAATCATGGCGTAGTTAGGCACCAGATCATACGTTGACTGCTGTGACCCTGACCTGACACCAAGCCCAGCCCACGTGACGAGTGGGGAAATAGGGCCTGTCATAGGCATCCTGGCCCAGAAGGCTAGGCTCCTGTTTGCCGGAAAGCTGCTGGGCGACTGAGCAGGAGCAGGTCTGGGGAGGGTGGTGTGGGGATAGCCAGCCGCCAGCCACCACTCCCACACCACCATGGTCCACCAGGCGCGGGGCTTGGCTCCATCGTGTCCGCGGGCAGGAGGCTGCTGCAGGGCGCGTCTGCGGCGGGGCAAGGCCAGATGCCAGCCAACGGGAGAGGGAGGTTCAAGTGCAGTGCAACTGGGCTTGACAGTACGATTTCCTGTTAGGGGTTCGTCGGCTATGAAAAGCAGCGCTCTATCCAGTGAACTTGCTCTGATCCGGTAATGTGAATTGTCAGTTGGGGCAGACTACACTGCTTTAAACGTAAACCCCAAATGGCAGAGTCGAGGGTGGGTGTCTGTCCAGGCACTCACGGATCTGCCTGTGTGGCCACTGTCCTCGGGTCACCCTGCGCCAGGCGCTCATGGATCTGCCCTGTGGCCACAGTCCTCAGGTCACCCCTCCTTGCTGGGGTCGGGAGTATGGGGGGTGTGCAGGAGGGTTCCTGTGCCCGTCTGGGGGTAGCAGTGCTGGAAATGAAAACTCACCCAAGGGACCTGGCCGTGCCCGGCTGCAAAGGCAGCTGGGAAGCGCCATCGGGTTCTGCAGCGAAGACAGTCATGGGTTGTGCTCGTCAGCCAGCTGGCCCTGCCGTCCTCCCCTCGGGGTTTAAAGTCTCTTCGAAGAAAACAAGTCCCCCAGGTAACGGATGGTCTCCAGGTGTCTGGAAGGAGAGACTCCTGTGTCTCTGAGGAGAGGAAGAGGTGGGAGTCCTTGAACCTCCAGTTGTCCCTTGGCACCGTGTGGTCGGCAGTGCCCGCCTGCCAACACGGCCTTTGCCCGCCGGCTGGGATGCTGACCTACACCTGGGGACTGACGTCTGACCCAGGGACTTCTGCGGCCGCAGGCAGTGCTCCTGCTGGGGCTCCTGCCTTGGACCTGGTGGCTTCGAACCCCTGGACCCTGCCTCTGCCACAGGCACTGAGGTCACTCCATTTGCTCCCCGCTCAGTGTCTACACTGCATGAAGACTGACGGTGGCTAGGGGAGATTAACCTGGGGGCATGGGCTGGAGAGGGGAAACTGACACATCTGACCGCTCATTCTCCTCCCCTTTTCCCACAGTCTTCCGTGACGTGGAGGACTTAGTTTGTGTCCTTTGTTCCTTCCGACCCCGGCTCAGTGTCCCCTCCACTCTGGGAGAGCCCTGGGCGTGGAGTCGGCCCCAGGTGCTTGTGGGTATGCTTGCAGAACTTGAGATTCTTTTCTGAATATCCAGGCTTACATGACTTCACTTGTTGCTGAACCTATTTAAAATTTTGATAATTTCTTCATGGTAGATTTTTCTGCATTAATTTTGATTTCTAAAAATATCGTACTGAAAATGGCCTACCTAGCTTGCTTACTGAGGTTTTTGGGTGCCTTTAAAGTTTGCACCCAAGGCCTCACCTTACCTCAGTCCTGGCCCCGTGTTGTGTAATCTAATTTTGAATGTGAAGCCCAGACTCTTGGTACTTGTGGCAGCCATGGCTTGATGTCTGTCCTGCATCAGCTGGTGGGAGCAGGGTGCCGAATACGCCCCCGCAGTAACGGCACCTCCAGGGTTGTGACTTAGTTTTGGTCAGAGACAGACTATTAACTGAGATTTCTTGAAAGCTTCCTTAAAAACATGGGAACGTTCCTGTCTTTCCTCCTGTGGTCAGATGTGTCACTTTCCCCTCCTGGAGGGTGGACACGATGGCTGGAAGGCTGGCTGTGGGATGGCCTTGACAATGGGAACGGGTATCGGTGGTGGAGAGATGCCATTCCTTGTCGCGTCCCTGGCCTGCAGGGAGTCCGGACTGTCCCGCAGCGTGCTTTTACCCAGGCGAGGACTGTACCTGTCTAGTTTTGTCTTGGACTTGAACCTAAGCCCCTGAGGTGTCCTGTAACTACTCATCATTCCTGGCAGTGGAATCAGACATCGACTTCATGTTTGGAAAAGCAAAAGCACTGGAGAGACACGAGTTGTACCTGTTGTGCAGGGGTGAAGCCACAGAATGGGGCAGGGGCCACTACAGGAGATGAGCGAACTGGTGCACAGCGAGCTTCAGGGCAGATGGGGGCACATCGCCGAGGGCCATCCTGAGGCCTGGCCTGAGCGTGCCAGCCCAGCCCGGCGTCGGCCATAGGCCACGCTGTGTCGGGCCACAGCTGGGGCCCTGCTTTCAGTTTTGATTGCAGAAGCACAAACAGGCTGCAAACGTGGAAGATGACCGGCTGGCTGGAGACTTATTGGCTCCTCACTCACGCTGCTGGCCAGCAGATGCACTGGAAGCCTCCTCAGCTTTGAAGGAATCTGTGTTCCCCGCCAGCCCCCAAGCTGACAAACAGAAGCCAGCGGTCACTCGGCCCCACAGCTCGTCTGTCCCCAGGCCTCCAGATGTGCGGCCTCAGGATGCGCCCAGTCGCTTCTTCCACAGAGAGGGGTCCTTCCAACGCCACGTCAGCTGCACCCACTGGACGACGGGCACGCGAGGTCTTCCAGACAGGGTTGGGGTGGCCAGCACAGCTGGGCAGGGGCTCACCTCACCTCCCAGGCAGGTGGGTAGCTGGCACGATCCGTCCATTCGTCGGGGCTTGTGACCACTGCGCCTGCTGCCTCTTGTGTCTTCCAGAGGTTTCAGTGTGGTCGTCCCCCGCCCTGTATGCTACTTCCGCACTGGGTTTTTATTTGTCCTTTAGCCATAGGTTGAACCATGAGGCATCACGTCCACAGTGCACAGCCCGGAGGAACCTGCCTCCCGAGACCTGGACCGGGGCGGGGGGCGGATGGAATGGAGCCGCCTGCCTTCGGAGGAACCAGTGTGGTTGGGAAAGGGCAGCGAGGCGAAATACCGCTAACAGTAAGGCAGAATGCTGTCACTTTTGACATCTGTGTGGAAGGAGCACAGTGGTTACTGGGCGGATGGCCGGCCTTGTCCCCTCCCCTGCGCACAGCACTGGGAGCCTCAGGCAACTCCTTCCCCTCCCCTGTCATCTGAATGGAGCCAGCGGCAGGGTGTGGGCAAGTCACCCACTTGGAAGCAATGGGCATCGGGCCCAGGGGCCCTCCAAACAGGCACCGAGTGACAAGATGTATGCCTGCAGCTGATGGTGGCCCATCGCCACCCGGAAAAGCCCCTGGGCGATGGAACCAATGCTGAGAGAAAGGCTAGGGGCCTGGAACGTCTGTCAGGCAGGTTGCAGGAGCCAGGAGAGGAGGCCCTGCTGTGTTGCAGGCAGCCCGCAGGTCAAGATGGGGGGCCACCTAACACACTGAAGCTGGCACCACGCTCACTCCCCGGGGCAGGGGCAGAGGGAACTGGAGCAACTGGAGGGAGCTAGACACGGTGCCTCCTCCTGACTTGTGTGTCAACATCGTCGCTTCACGGTCCTCTGGAGGGCAGTGAGTCCCGAGAACGCGCGCTCTGAGTTTGTTGAGTTTGTTCCGCAGCTGGTGACCCGCGCAACATCGTCGCTTCACGGTCCTCTGGAGGGCAGTGAATCCCGAGAACACGCGCTGTTTGTTGAGTTTGTTCCGCAGCTGGTGACCCGCGTGTTATGGCTGTGCTTTGGCTGGGCCATAACTGAGGACGGGAGGAGAGACGAGCCCTTCGGTCCCCGTCCAGGGAGGGCGAAGGGCCCCAACGCTGGTCCCTCAGTGAGTCTGTTCCACAGGGAAGCCCACCTCTGTGCAGCCATGATTCTACATCCTCAGGGAATCCTTGCGTGCCTGCCACCTCTGCCAGAAAAACGTCACAGAGGAATAAGTATGTTTTCTGCAATGCAACCCCCATTGCCAGTTCTTCCCTAGAAGGAAAGGAACCAGACCATGTCCAGTCTCGTCCAATACGATCTTTCCCGAACTTTTACTTAAAAAGTAAAGATGCTTCTGTTATTTCTAAAGTGGTTCTGATACAGTCTTTCTAAATATAAACCATGTTTATTTAGCGTCTGAAGTATGCTGGGGGGTGGGGGAGGCCAAGGACTGGAAGCAGTCAGCAGGGAGTGGGAGCAAGGCTTCCCTGAAAGAACGGTTGGTCGGTTCACAAACTCCCTGTAGCCCCACTCCATCCCCGAATGGAGGGAAGAGAGGGAGCGGGAGTGAGCAGAGCAAACCAGCGGAGACCCCCCAGGGGCCTGGCGCTGCCCACGCACACAACAGGGCTGGTCCACTGTGCTCAGCTTGATACTTCACATGCAGTGAGGCCTCTGGCTTCTCAAAGGCAAAGCTTTTCAGTCATTACGTTAATATTTTATTACCTCGACGTGAAAGGAAGGGGCATAGCAAGGACACATGTCAGCTGAAGTGAAAGGAACAGAAGAGCCGCTGGGGCTTGCGGATTTGGTTCCCTCGGGGCCCGTGGGACCCTGTGAAGGCCGAGACGGTTAGTGTCTGGGTTAGCGTCTGAGAACCTGGAAGCGGCTCGCTGGTCCAAGGCCAACTTCTTACCACGCAACTGCTTCCATACAAATTAAGAGATGCTCTGAGACCCGACAGTCTGAAACAGATGGGGCCACGGTTTCTAACGCTGGTCCTGACAGGGCCGAAGGAGGACAGAGGGGAGAGGGAGTAGCAGGGCCACTGTCGCCCCCCAGAGGCAGCCTGGGGGCAATGCGGCCTTGACCTTGCCCACATTTCTAATTCTTCTCCATCTCTTCACATTTAAGTTCTACTTTAATAGCTGGTGATAAAAGGCTGAGAAAGCTGCGTGTGGTCTGTCTCAGCGAGGGGTGAGGGGTGGCGGTGACAAAGGTAGGGACTTACAGTGTCTTCTCAGGACTCCTGCTTTCCACCGAGTTACAGTTTGAGAAAGGGAATTGTCCCAGGGTCCCAAGTCAGTGACATGCTATGTTTGTCATAAATACCAATTAAATCTTTAAATCTGGTAGCTGGCCATGCTGAATTAAGAGGAAAAAAACTTTAGCTCACATTTCCTTTTCCTGTTTTAATCAAGGCCACTCAGGACCTGCTCCGGGCCTGTCGGCTGGGACGCCCACAGCCGTGAGAATGCCTGACCTCACACGAGCAGGCGAGACAACACCTCGGGCTTCCCTCTCCTCAGAGGGTGTTCTGTCTGTCTCTTCATTCTAGTGACAACTCATGCTTTAGTCAATTTTAACTCAAACCAAAGGGAGAACATGTGCTCTGTGGGGACCAGAAAGCAAGCTAACCGTTGTCACCACCTGGGCCTGGCCAGCCTAGCGGTGAGCTGAGCTGTCAGACCCTGGTTAGTGCAGACTCCAAACAAGTCACCTGAGCAAGGCAGAGGAGAGTGTGCGTTCTCAACGGCAGACTCGGCAGAGGTTGGCATGTGCTGTTCTATCCGTGTCGGCAGGTAATGCAAAACCAGTGACCGTCCTTATAAAAATGGCAGTTGGCGTCAAGTGTGGTGCGAGGCAGCGTCTGAGCGGCACCTGTGAGATGTGGCCAGGTCTGTGCCAGCCCCCTCGGGGGCCCGCTGTGTGGCCCAGTGGTGAAGTGCACTTGCCTGCCGAGATGAAGCTGCTGTTGGCTCGTGAGGAAGCCGAGGACCGGAGGGCGTGCCTGCTCGAGGGAGCGGTGAGTTTGTGGCGGGAACACCAAGGCCTCGCGCTCGCTGCCGACCGTGCCGAGCCAGCAGCTGCTTCGGTACCGGTACCAGCACCAGCCGGGTGCGGTGCCTGCAGGTACACTGGTGGCTGCCAGAGCTATCTGAAACTGCCGACGTGGATGGAGAGAGAAGCTTCTGGTCTCTGGGGCCGGCCAGGTGTCTCTGCACTGGAGAGAATGCTGCTGCTCTGCACCCGAAGGGCTTCTTGGCTGCGGGAGACACAGAGGCTGTCACCGGCACAGTCACCGGCACAGTCACCGGCACAGTCACCGGCACAGTTGGCTCTACCAGGTCAGGGGATTTGGAGTGACTATAAAATTCATTCCAGTGTTTAGGGGTCAAGTCAGAACAGGCCACAGAGATGACAGATATGTCCAGACTGCCCGTCAGAGGACCTCGGTGTACCCCCACCAAGGTCGCGTGCGGGACCGCGGTCAGGCTTGGGGTCTTTTCTGATCCGGGAGGTGACAGTGTCTCCCAGTAAAGTCATCTTTCTTTCTTCACCTTCTGAATCCAAGTACACAGTTCCCAGAAGCACAAATCTTACATGTCCAACTCCAGGAATCACCACAAACGCACACGCCTGGAGCCACCACTTCCACCTCGGCCCTTCCTCATACTGTCTACTCCAGCCCTGCTAGATGCCCCTGGCCACTGTCACACAACGCCTGACACACGGGGACCCAAACTACGGAAGGGCAGGAGGAGATGAAGACGAGGTGAGCAGGGGCTGGATGAGGCAGGCAGGCAGGCGACTTGAAAGGCTACTGCAGCGACTCGCCCAAGAAAAGGAAGCCCAACCTGCCAGGCGCAGTCGGGACAGGAAAGGACACTGACCACTGATGACAGAGCAAGACTTCGGGAGAGAGAGGTGGGGAGCAGACAAGGACCATGGCGCCCTGGTGGCCTGCGTGGGGGGGATGGCACGTGCAGTGTGAAGTGTCAGGGTTGGAGGGATGTCCAGTGGGGCCTGGAGGCAGGCGACTGTGTACGGAAGAGGAAGGCGGTCCCAAGGCGAGGGACAGTGACAGGGGAGTGTGCAGAGTGAGGAGGGAGCAGGGCGCCAGGCTGGAGAGGGAGGGAGCCGGGGAGGTGAGAGGCCTGCATGGGGAGCTTCCGCCAGCGGGCAGTGGCCAGTGGCAGCTGAGGGACCAGCACCCAGGCTAGTTCTTGGAGGGAACAAGGGAGGAAGTGGCTGGAGTGGCACGTGGACTGCAAGTGCTTCTATCTTCAGATGACTGAGACCTGAGTGTGCTGGTATCTGAAGGGAAAGACCCAGAAGTGTGTGTGTGTGTGTGTGTGTGTGTGTATGTGTCGGGGGCAGTGCTGAGACCCAGCAGGGGCGGGCTTCCTGGTGGAGGCGCTGTGCAGGACAGCAGGCCGGGCCTCCTCACCAGCGCCTGTGGCTGTGTGCTGCCGTTCCAAGCCCTCCTCCTCTGGAGCTGTTGAGGGAGAGGGAGAGCGAGCGCGAGCAGTCAGGTTTCGGGGCCCCGTCACACAAGGACCCTGCGTTACCTTTTCTTTTTCCCCAGGGCGAGCTGCTTCTGCTTTTCTTTCCCAACGTCGTCTCTGACTGTACTGAAATCTTCGTCATCGTCCACCAGCAGATTCTACGTTTCAAAAGAATGAACATATTTTCAGGTATCTTTTCAATCTACGAGAGTAATTTATGTAAATTTACATAGAGATTCAGGTAATTTAGGTAAAAATTTACCTGAACTGACATAAGGCAATATCCACACTTAAACTAGGTTAACAACCGATAGCAAACGTTCTAGTGCTTGATGACAAACTGTGCGAGTGTCAGGCAGGGCTTGAGAGGGCTCGGCTCAGCCACCTGACCTTTGCCTGCAAATGCCCCGTGGGGCGTGGGCCCAGCAGAGGGGCGTCAGAGCGCGGGGAGAGCGGGCCAGTGGGGGGACCCTGTTGAGCTAGAAGCACGGTTTGCTTTACACATGGTCAGCGTCCCTGTGCCCCTCTGCGGGAAGGCGTGTGCCTTGTCCTTTAACTCCTTGGAATCTCCAGGAAGCTTCTGGCATATTCTCAACAAAGATGCTCGATTTGTCCTTCTAAGGGGACAAGGCCTGCCTCCCAGCGCTCAGTCAGTTTGATAAATGAGTGTCATTTACCATAAACACTGGCTGCTCCCCACGGCCGCCCACAGCCACGTCTCAGTGAGTGTCAGCTTGTCAAAATATTAACCCTGAAAAAACACAACTCAAGGAAATTGTGTGTCGGAAAATTCTGAGGCTTGTCAGGGTGTGGGAAGGGTGCCCTGGAGCCGGCCTCATCCCCCAGTGACTATGGTGCCCGCGCTGAGCCCGCACCCGCAGGGACTGAAAAGTGCAGGACGGTCATGCTGCTTCTCCCCTCTCGGGCGAGGAAAATGTCACAAAAAATATTATGATCTCTAGCCCAACAAACGGTGCAAGGTAAACGTTATAATTTTGATTCCAGTAAGTTGGACGTGTGTTTTTAAAAAACTGTGAAACATTACAAAATAAGAGAAACTACAGAGAGAATGGGGCAGACCCCACGTCCCCGGGGGAGCGGAAGCGAGGGCACAGGCCGTGTGGCGCTGTGGTCAGAGCTGCCCAGGCGCGGTCCCACAGTCCCCTCGGGGCGGCCCTGTGCCGCATCTTGTCATGAGGGAAACGGAGTTAAGCGTGTGCACGGGTGGTACTTGGCGCATGACGGAGTGTCAGGGACAGCGGCTAACGTTTCTCCATTTTTCTACAGCGTTTTTCAAGCAGAAGACAGCTGCTGACATCCCTCCCCCACGAGAGGTGAGCACTGAGTCTGGTGCTCCTGCTCCTGTCCCCACTTGTACCCCATCCCAGTGCGGCGATCCTCGGCACTTTCCATAAATGACCGGTCTGTGACCTGGCTTCCTGTTCAACACACGATACCTGTATGTCCGTGGCTCTGGTGTAGTCACTTCAGCTGCTGTGTTCTACATCTGTATTTTCCCCCCATTTTCTCTCTCCCCGTTCTGAGGGTCGTTTAAGTTCTTTCCAGTTACAAACGACACGCTCCAGTGCACCTTCTGTGCGTCTCACACCCGCGCTGGCTGGTCTACGGTAATGACGTAGGGGTGGAGTTTGCTGGGCATCACTCTGGCCTCTCTCACTAAATAACTGCCCAGCCGTCTCTGGCAGCTGGGCCAGTGTGACTCCTGCTGGCAGCGCCCGGGTTCTGTGGGTCTGGCTGCGGGTGGAGCGCTCTGCTCTGACCCGCAGCTGCCCGGTACTAGGAAGCCATCTTTTCAACTGCTTGTTGGCCCCTTGGTTTTTCCTTAGAACTGCCGGTGTTAATCTCTGCCCTTTCCCCCCTGTTGGTGGGTTATCTTTTTATAACTGACTTGTAGAAGTACTTTACATATTCTGGATAATAATTCTTGTTAATTACGTTGCTGCATATAACTTTTCCTGGTTGAGGCATGGCTTTTCACTTTTTATGGCTTCCTCTGATGAACAAAAGTTTTCCCTTTTAATGTACTCAAATTTATCAATCGTATTCTTTTATGTTTGTGCATTGTTTCCTATTTTAAGAAACCCTTCTTAACCTAAGTCAAAGATTTTCGTATCTTCTAAAGGTTGAAAACCACTGCTTTTCACATGTAACTCTTTGTATTGATTGTGGTATGCGGTTGAGCAGAGGTGCACACAGAGTTTATGAAACTTACATAAATTTGAGGATTCTCTTTATGAAAATTATGACTGCATTTTCCCTATATGGATAACCAATTCTCCCAGACCCATTTATCGAATGATCTAATGTTAATGCTGACTGAAATACCTGTCAAATTTCCTCATCTGTGTGACTCTGTCGCAGGGCTCTGTGTCCCAGTCCCAGTGGTCTACCCTGGCCCTGAAGCCCTACAGTCAGCCTTAACACTTGGTAAGACCAGGCCCCTGACCTTGCTCGTCTTTGAGACTATCTTAGCTCTCTGGCCCTTTTCTTTTCGGCGTGCACTCTCTGTAATCTGCTGGTCTTCTCCGGGATGACACTGAACTCCGCGGTGGGAAAACTGACACTGACTGTGGTGAGGCCCCAATACACGGGATGGCTGTGTGCCCGCTGGAGCCTTAATGCCTCTCCGCATTTTGCGATGGTCTCCAGCAAGGTCTCAGAACGCTTTCTGGCGGGTGTGCTCGTTACCGTGTAGTTTTATGTATACCGGTCTCGTAGTCTTTTGAACTCTCTTAATACACCTAACGTTTACCCGTGCAGTATCCTGAATCTCCTCTGTAGAGAAATGCACGTAAGAACAGTCTTATATTTTTTTTACCTCTCTTTCAATTTTTAACTTTTCTTTGGAGGGGGGAAGAAGTTCATATTACACTGGTCACATTATTGACTACCAAGTTATTATTAAAGGAATACTTATTCCTTAACACAAAAATATTAAATCAAGGACTGAATTATCAGTAAATTAATAATTAATTCTTAAATTAAGGATTAAAATCATGAACCCTGAACATAAAAAATATTACTCCATGACAACAAAGTTGGTTTGTTCAAGGATGGATCAGTGTCGAGAATGTATTGATGCAATCATGCTACACTACCGGATGAAAGGAGAAAAAGCGTGTGCTAAGAGGAATGGGAGGGAACGTCTCAACCTAACACGGGAGCCTACGCAAGACCCGCAGCAACACGCTTAGTGGTAAGACTTCAAAAAGCATTATCATTCAAGTCAGACCCAAAATGAAGGTTTGGTATTGAAGTTCTGTTGGCCTCATAAGATGAGCTGTCTGGCTTTCCTTGAAACAACTTACGTAAAACGGGGTTATCTGTGCCATGAAGATTTGACAACACTTCTCTACCAAACACCATGATCTTGGTGTTTGTCTAAGTGGTAAATTTGCTGTTCAACAACTTACCTTAACACCAATCGTATCTCCATCTTTCAAGTAATAAGGTGCCCCCTGCAAACTTTCTTGCTTTTTCTTCTTTTTCCTCTTGGTGATTTGCTGGTTCTATAGGAAAATCAAGCATCTTGAGTAAAGAACTCAACCTCAAATTCACAATGAAGCCCTATCTGACACATTGCCGCACCCTGTGCCAGGAAGGCCCAGTGTCTCGAGAAAGCCCCGCAGCCTCACCCAGCTAGACACGGGGAGCCACTCGAACTTCTCAGGAAAGTACTTGGCAACTTCGATCTTCTCCACGGGAAGGGAATAGAAATCAGCCACCCGCTGCCTCAGGGTGCCGGCAGTGCCGCCTCGGGCAGTGTCCCACACCAGGTCCTGGGGCAGGCCGTAGGCCCTCACGCCGGGGAGGCGCATCTGCGTCCGCAGCAGCACTTCCTGTGGGCTGCACCAGAACACAGTCAAGGTCAGATTCCAAACACAGTGAGAAATGCGCGGTAACTACAGGGTGCGATGGGCGAAGCTTCCCTCCTTTTCATTGTACAAGCAGAGATTTCCCTTCAATGCTCTTTATTTTGATTCCTTTCAATCCTGACCCGAATGGAGGTGAAGCTTCTATTGTGAGCCCAGAGCAGAGTCCTCAGGGAGGCAGTGGGCACTGCTGAGGGTGGAGGAGGCTCCCTCCGTGGAAGGGGACCGGGGCAGGGCCAAAGAGACAAGAGGGTCAACCTGACCAGGTTCCCAGCCACTGTGACTTCCTGGGAAATGCTGATTTCAGAGTAGAAGCTGGCGGGGAAAAAAAGGTATTTTAGGTGCTAAAAATGTGAATTGCTGTGGGGTAGCCAGGGAGAAGAAGCCAGGGGCTTCAGGTTGGCAAGAGAGATGGGTGGAGAGGTGGATAACAGAAGGGCGGCGATTAGAACTCTTGGAGGAAGAGAATGATTCGGAAAAGTGGGAGAAATAGATGTATGGAGATTGTCATAGGACACCAAGTAAAAACTACAGGTAAGAACCGAAAGGTAGAGGGGGGAGAAACGAAAACTGTTTTGTTTGTGTTTTTAGGATGAGATGACGAGTGATTTTAATGATGTGTTTCTGTCATGTTGGTCTATTTTCCAAAAGAAAGGGTGATGCAGTCGGAGAAAAGGAGTAACGGGAGGAAACGGAACTCGGAGAATGCAGGCGAGTGAATGCGGAGAAGGGAGTGCAAGGGGGAGACCGTGGTCTGGAAGGGCGTTTTGAGAGACGGAAGCTCTCCTTGGGGTGTTATGTTGTTGAACCAGGGAGTAGAGGTCCTGGCGCTGAGCCCAGTGGGGTCACTGTGATGCTGGAGGTGACGGGCTGGGGTGAAGAGGGTGAGGAGGAACCAGAGGCCTCGCTGAGGAGGGCAGTCAAGGACAGGCGAGCGATGGGGACGGGGGTCTAAGTAAGTGCACAGCATGGTCTTCAAAAGGTTAAAACAAACATGGCAAAGGGTCAATGTCACTGTTACAGAAAGAGCTCACACAGATTAGACCCCATTAAAAAGCAGGCAAAATATATGAAATAGTTCACACACTCACAAAATACAATTGGCTTATAAGCCTTTGGAAAAAAATGCCCAATCTTAGTCGCAACCAAAGCACTGAAGCAAATGAGACAAGATAACCGTTTTTCATTTATCAATTTAAAGAACACTTAATGACAACATTCAATGTTGGTCTGAGGGTGAAGTAAATATGCAGAAACACTGTGGGAACGTAAATTGGTATAATTTACCTGGAAAGGAATTTAACTATTTTAAAAGGTGTAAAGTGTCCATATCATTTGATCCAGAAATTCCCCTCCAGGAAACTACTCCTGGTAATACCATTTGTGTTAAGAGTGAATTTTTACAAACAATGACTCTAAATGAAGGTTAGACATGGTAGAGAGAGAGTTATGAGAATTATTATATAGCAAGAAAGATATTCATATCCTACCAGGTAGAAGGAATCTTAAGAATTTTAATATTTAGTGATACTAACAAAAACGTCTTATAATTTTTCTATAGTGAAAAATAATAAGGAAGAATTTGACTGTAGATAACTTTGGGGTGCTTCCTTATTCAATAAATAATTGACTATGACAAAGGCATTGATCGAGATATTGGGGACACAGCTGTGACCAAAAAATAAAGTACTTGCTCTCATGAAGCTTACATCCTAGTAGTGGGAGACAGATAATTTAAAAAGTGTGTAATATGTCGGCTTATCGTAGGATAAAAAAAAGCAGAATAAGGGGGCAGAGTGATAGGTGCTACTGCCCAAATGCCCTGATAAGACTCTCTTGCTTACACTTCAAGGTCATCATGGGTTCATTATGCATTTGGGGCTTACCGAAAAAGCCATTCTCGTTTTCAAGGAAAAATGAGTTCCCAGTTGTAGACCCCAGGCATACGGATACATTTCTAAAACACAATCTGTTTTAAATTGCCAGACTACTTAGCAGCAGTGAAAAAAAAATTTAAGTTGTTAGATTTTAAAGAAACCACCCACTATGATAAGATGTGTGTATAATTTTGTATGTGTTGTAGGATGTCTTACCCTAAGTTTTCTCCTTTTTGAAGGGGCTCTAAGCAGATCTCAGTTCTTCTTCCCAGTTTATATTCCCTGATAATAAATGAAATAAAATAATATTGAGTGACACTTTAATTTTTTAAAACATTTTTGCCAATTTTAAGCTCTCTTTTTAAGCAAAATATTATACCATATATGAACATTCAAAATTTAAGACACTATGAATTATACCCCAACAAATTGGACAACTTAGAAGAAATGGACAAATTAATATGAACAGACCGACTAAATCAGAAATCAAAAACCTAAAAAAACAGTCTAAGACCAGATGGTTTGCATTGATGAATTCTACTAAACATTTAAAAATTAACTAATACCAGTCCTTCTCAAATTCTTCTGAAAAACAGAAGAGGCAGGAACACCTCCAAACTTATTTTATGCGGCCAGCATTACCATGCTATCAATACCAGATAAGGACACTGCAAGAAAGAAAATTATAGGCCAATATCCCTGATGAACACAGATGCAAAAACCCCCAATAAAATATTAGCAAACTGAATTCAACAATACATTAAAAAGATCATACACCATAATCAAGTGGGATTTATGCCAGGGATGCCAGGATGGTTCAATATCTGCAAATCAATTAGTGTGACACACCACATTAACAGAATGAAGGATAAAAATCATATCACCTCAATAGCTACAGAAAAAGCACTTGACAAAATTCAGTATCTTTTTATGTTAAAAACTCAACAAATGGTATGGAGGGAATGTGCCTCAGTGTGATAAAGGTCGTCTATTACAAGCCCACAGCTAGTATCACAATCAAGGGTGAAAAACTGAAAACTTTTCCTCTAAGATCAAGAACAAGACAGGGATGCCCACTCTTGCCTCTCTTATTCAAGAGTACTGGGAGTCCCAGTCAGAGCACTTAGGCAAGAGAAAGAAATAAAAGGCACATAAATCAGAAAAGAAGAAGTAAAATTGTTTCTATTTGCAAGTGACATGATGTTTTATTTAGAAAACCTTAAAGATGCAACCAAAAAACTATTAAAATTAATAAATAAATTCAGTAAAGTGGCAAGATACAAAATCAATATATAAAAACCAGCTGCATTTTATACATTAACAACAAACTCAGAAAAACAAAGAAAACAATAATGGCATGAAAAAGAATAAAATACTTAGGAAAATATTTAACCAAGGAGGTAAAAGATCTGTACACTGAAAACTGTAGAATATTGATGAAAGAAACTGACGAGGACACAAGTGAGTGGAACGATGCTCTGTGTTCATGGATTAGAAGAATACTGTTAAAATGTTCATACTACCCAAAGCGATCTACACATTCAACGCAATCCCCATTTCAATGGCATTTTTCACAGAAATAGAAAAACCAATCCTAAAATTTGTATGGAACCACAGAAAGGCCCTGAATAGCCAAAGCAATCTTAAGAAACAATGAAGCTGGAGGCATCGTGCTCCCTGACTTCAAACTAGACTATGAAGCTACAGTAATCAAAATAGTATGGTATTGACATAAAAACAGACACATAGATCAATAGAACACAACAGAGACTCTAGAAATTAATCCATGCATATATGGTCAATTAACTTATGACAAAGGCACCCAGAATATATAACGAGGAAAGGCAGTCTCTTCAATGAATGGTGCTGGGAAAACTGGACAGCCTCACGCAAAAGAATGAAACTGGACTGCTTTCTTACACCACACACAAAAATCATCTCGAAATGATGAAAGACTTGAACGTAAGACCCGACACAGTAAAATCCCTAGAAGAACAAGGGGGTGCGCCACTAAGCTCCCTGACATTGGCTTTCACGATGTTTTTTGGGGGTTTGACAACAAGAACAAAGGTGACAAAAGCTAAAATAAACGAGTGGGACAGCATCAAATCAAAAAGCTTCTGCACTAACAAAGGAAACCAACAAAAAGAAAAGGCAACCCATGGAATGGGAGACTGTATGTGCAAGTCACATATCTGATAAGGGGTTAATAGCCAAAGTTATAAAGAACTCATAGAACTCAAGAGCAAAAACCCCAAACTACCCAATTAAAACATGAACAGAGGAAAGGAATAGACATTTTCCCAAAGAAGACATACTGATGGCCAATAGGTACATGAGAAGGCGCTCAACTTCACTAATCAAATCGGAACCACGAGTCCACATCACACCTGTTGGAATAGTTATCACGAAAAAGACGAGGTAAGTGTTGGCGAGGACGTAAAGGAAAGAGAACCCTCGTGAGCTGCCGGTGGCAGTGTACATTGGTGCCACTGTGGAAAACAATACGATGGTCCCTCAAAAAATTAAAAACAGAACTACCAAATGATCTGGAAATCCCACTTCTGGGTCTTTATCCAAAGGAAATGAAAACAGGATCTCAAAGAACTACCTGCCCTTCCATGTTCACAGCAGCTAAGATATGGAAACAACCTAAGTGTCTGTCAATGAATGAATGGATAAAGATGTGGTGTGTACACACACACACTCACACACACACACAGCCATGAGGGAGAAGGACATCCTGCCATTTGCAACAACGTGATGAAACCTGAGGGCATTACGAAAAGATTAAGTCAGACAAAGGCAAATACTGTATGATATTTATTTATATGTGGAAAAGTCAAACTCTTAGCAACAGAGACAAGAATGGTGGTTACCAGGGGCTGGCAGCAGGGTAAAGGGGAGCTTTTGGTCAAAGGTTACAAACTTACAGTAATACAATGAGTAAGTTCTGGGGATCTAATGGACGGCATGGTGGTTATACCTAATAATAGTGTATTACATACTTGAAAGTTGCTAAGAGAGTAGGTCTTAAATGTTCTCACCACAAAAAAGAAATGGTAACTATGTGACATATTGCAGGTGGTTAGCTAACACTATGGTGGTCATCATTTTGCTATATATATCAAACCAACAGATTGTATGCCTTAAACTTACACAATGTTATATCAGTTATATCTCAATAAAGCTAGAAAAAAAAGAACAGAGTCTCTGGAGCACAGTACTTAATATTGTACTTGATACTGGAAACTGAAGTTGTCCCAGAGTTTACGATAAAAAGCATCATGCAATTGCCAAACGTGGAATTACCGAGAACAGGCTGCTGTTACTGAGTGTTCAACAGGACACCTACCTGAGCTGCTGCTGGTCCATTCGTAACAGCCTGCCGGGGCGCTTACTTTCCACTGTCCAGGCTCTGAGGAAGGCTGGGGATGGGACGAGAAACTCCGAGAAGGCGGGCAAGGTCATGGCCTAGAAAAGAAACAGACATTTTGTCCAGAGGGTTTGAAAAAGCCCTCTTAAGAATATGTTGCTCTGGGAAATAAATGAAGCACTATGACATCTGGAGGAAAGAGTATTTTAAATAATAAGATCTATTAAAAAAAATCACAGGAATATCTCTTAAATCCCATTTATCATAATTTTTTATATTCCTCTCTACTAAAATCAGCTTGACAGATAAGTGTTTTCGATTTCTAAATTTGAGCCAAAAGCTTCTTTTTAATCATTATGTTTTAGAAAATGAAACTTTGAATTAACCTCTGTGTGAGTATAACTCCCAGGGTAGAGGCCACTCCAATAAAAGCAAGAGACTCGCCTTCACCTGTCATCAGTAATTCTTCAATCTGTGCTCTGCCAAGGAAATAACCTTCTGAAATATTTAAAAATCTTTGGATCCAACTGCTAGGGCCAAACTGCTGTACTAATTTTGTAGTAGATAACTATTTATTTATATATTAATATATTTAGGCTATAGCATATAAAATGGCCAATATTCATCCTTTTACCTAAAAACAACAATTTTGTATATTTCAATCCAATACAAGAAAAAAGTCTCTTCCCACTTGTTCTCATGAGAACAGGGCCATTTGCTTTTCTTGAGGAAGGTCGCTTCAAACACTGAGGACATACAGGTTAAACATCAACGACCGACATTCACATCATCTGCCAGTTTTCTCCTTTAAGAGGAGGAAAGGCTGTTCATTCCAGTCCCGCAACAGCGAGACGGTGCTTTAGCAGTCAGTGTTGTCTTCAAGTCACCCTCTCCACTTGGACAAACACTCTATACTGATGCATAAGAAAACCATATGACAGATCCACCATCCCAACATAAAGCTCATGTTCTGACCTCCTGGGAAATTGATAACGCATCTTTTGAATAACAACATTTAACACATGGATCACACTGATACAACAACAATGTAAATGGGGTCAACGGAATGCTTTACGTGTGTTTCGATAAATCATATTTGCCTAAAAAATAAAAATAAACATAAGCCGCAGGTCACTGGGGCTATCCTGAAATGCAAGCAGAGCATGCCTGTCAGAGGAGGGAGAAACGACAGCCACAAGGGCACCTGGCAGGAAGAACACCTGGAGCTGTCTGAGCCACGTGCGGGTCGCCTGTTGGGTGCTTACCACTGTACATGGCATATAACACCTGCCATGTCAAAACAGACTGTATTTGAGCGAAAAGGAAATAGAAGAACACATTAACGTCTCACGGGAAGAAACCAGATGGCCACGAGGTACGCAGTGGCTAGCGGTCTGACCTGAGACTTCAGTTCCACCAAAGTGGCTTCTTCTGAGATGTCCACGTCTCCCAAGTAGCAGAGGGGAACTTCTGCGTGCGTGTCACCAGGAGCACCTACAAACAACAGAGCTAGAGTCTGAAAGGGGCTCCAAATGCATCGATTTCCTATTTCTGAAATGTATGCACATTAGGATGTTGTAAATTCTTTTCATGCCATACCATTCAAGAAGCTCTGGGTTCCCTGAACTTGCCCGTCCTGGCTTTGGAGGGGAGAAGCCCTGCCTTGTACATGGGCAGCCAGAGAGCACACTGGTGGCACGAGAGCACGCTGGTGGCACACGATCCCGATTTTCTCACTGCAGTGGGTTTGAGGGATTTCACACGTGTGCTATCTACCTAGAATGTTCTTTTCCATTCTCTCTCCTTCCTTAAAGAGGACTTTGTTGGTAGGATACTCTGCCCTTATTCTTTATATTAGCTTCTTCTTTCTTTCTCTCATAATACTTATCCCAACTTGTTTCTCTGTTGTCTGTTTCCTTGGATGGGGAGACAGATTAGGGAATAAAATAAATATATTTTATTTATTTAAGGAATAAATAAATTATAATAAATAAATTAGGGAATAAAATTTATTTATTTTATTCCCTAATCTGTCTCCCCAAAAGAATACGATTTTCAAGAGAGGACAGGCTGTCATTCTTATCTGTCTCTCCAGTCCCCGGTATGGCGGATGCCACATAGTAAATGTTTACTTAAAGAACCCTTGACAATAAGGCCTTTCTACATTTGTTTTAAAAAGTGAAAAACAAAATGTTCTCTCATCTAAAATTCTGGATATAAAAGCTGGCAACGAAATTTAAAATTCAGAATAATTTCATTCATTTTTGCTTTAACTAAATTCCTTTGTTGATTGATGGGCACACTGCTAACCTAACACTTAATGTATTTATGATATGATTTTCATTAAGAGGAAAAGCTTCGTGACTGGTTCCTCTTGTGTCTTGAGGACACCATGAGCTATGAGACACTTGGAGGAACCTCTCAGGAATGAAAAGCTTGTCCTGTATGTTGTAATACGAAGGACTACCAAAAACCAAACCTGTTTCTTCAGTGATTAAACATGCTTTTTTTAAGTCTGTAGCCAACTCTATACGTAATTATTATCGTATTGCCAAGGCATTTTTAGAATTAGTTAACATATCTAATATAACCTAACCAAAAATTAACTTAATGCTAATTTCATAGCTAATTCAACACAAAAATACTTTATTGCTCTATACATATAAGCCTAACTTCAAAGAGTAAGGAGATAAGAATTTAATTCATTTATATAATTTCTGTACTGGGGTTTAAAGATAAAAAGAAATGTTAAGTATATACTACTTCGAGGCACTAAAAAAGCTAAATAAGTAAAGCATGATGGAAAGAAAAATATAAAGAGATTATCTACAGTTACGAAGGAGATTAACTTGTGGTTCCATTATAACAGTATCAGTTCAAAGTCGCTGCTAGTGCCTGCTCGCTCATCCTGGTGTGTGTACCGACTTGTCTGTGGAGAAGCGACTCAGAAGCAAACTGTATGCTCGCACTTGGTTTCTCCCCAGAAGTCAGCGAGGCCAGGTGGAATGCCCCGAGGCAGTTCCTAACAATCAAGCGGAGGCAGCGGCAGAAAACGTAGGAGCTGTGCAGGGTGTGGGCTCCCTGCCCCTCTACCCTTGGGGGGCTGTGTGAAGTCACCGTAAGTGATTTAAGCCTCAAGATTCCAGTCTACTGTCATTAATGAGGCCACTATTCACACTGCCATGAGGCTCTTGAGAGCGATATAGAAAAATGCCTTGAAAAATTTTAATATATTGATATAACATAAAGGTAATAACAGATTGTACCTTACGGAGGTTCCCAAGCATCCTAAAAATAGGGTGGTGCTGTTGTTACCAAATGACTTATGGAGTAAGTAGGTTTTTGTTTTCAACCTTACATTTTTAAAAACAAGTATTTCGGTTGCCTCTCAGATCAGAAGCAATAATTTCACTTCTCTTCACGACACACTGGCTGCTATGGTTCTGCTGTGCTCTCACCTTGGGTGGAAGGAGGTCTCCAGACCCCACCTTGAGAAGGGGTGCAGTTCGCCTGGTCCAGATGACTCTTCCACTGACCCGAGGTGCCCTGAGGCTGGTACCACCAGATGGGCACCTTCAGGAACCCCTGAGGAATGGAGCATTTACGACAGCTGTGACCCACACAGACCGAGTGGACATCCTCTCTCACACCCACACAGAAACATCTTGGTAACAGAAAACGTTCCTGAATTTATTATTTTTCCTTTAGCTGTATAACTGCCATCTATACTTGTTAATTGTTTATACAATTAAAAGTTTAAATCATAAAAATCAGACTTTGGAATGCCTAGAACTAGAAGTTCTTTGCTTAGAAGTATCTTAGTAGCTACATTAAACAAAAAGTATAAACAAAATATTTGACAGGCGATATAAATATCTGCAGTCCCTAAGAGCACCACTAACCTAATGCGCCAGTTACAAGCAGTTTTCCACTTTACGGAGAACCAGCAACCTGTTGATCTAAGCTGGGTTCTGTGGACTCCATGAAATAAACCCATTTCCTCAAACGTATCCTGTAGTTTCAGTTTTACTAATCTAACTGGTTCTTCCCACCCCTTTTTCTGAGTTAGAACTTTAAGTTATTAGGTATAAAAGATGTTACTGTGCTCAATTTCCAACAGAAGATGAGAATGTGAAGAAAACCACATAAAATATCTTAAATCTGTATTTCAAGAAATGCATATTAAAATGAGGCTGTTTTTCTGTTTCTCAAATAGATGAAGATTAACAAATACTCAACCTCCATTCAATTAAAGAAATGTAAATAAGAACAATAAAATTCCATCTTTTCACCTACTGGACTGTCAAAAACCATAAAGTCTAATAACATTCTATATGTTGGTGAAAATATGGGTAAACACTTTCGTAAATTGGTGGCAGGAATATAAACTGCTACAAAGTTTCTGGACGGTAATTCGGCACTATCAAAATTTAAGTGCCTAAACTCTCTGACCCAGCCATCCCATGGTTAAGGATTCACTTTCCGATACACCAGCCCTGCATATACAGCCGGAGATGCAAGGATATTCACTGCGAACTATTTATGTATAGTAGCAAAATAGGGTAGTAGTTCTAGTAATTTATTCTGTAGATATATGTTTGCAAAATGGCGCATTTATGATGTGTTTTGCTGTGTTATTTGTATAAACAAAAGATTGGAAACCACCTAAATCTTTGAAAAAAGGCCAGTTAAATAAGTTATGGTGCCCCCATACAATGGAATATTAGATAGCCATCAAACAGAGTGACATAGCTTTAGGTGTACTGACACGGCACCTGTATGGAGGTAAAACAGTAATGAAAAAAGCTAGTTACAAAATAGGGAGTCTAGCGTATAATCTTTTGTGTAAATAAAGACATATACACATGAATGTGTATTATGTGCTATGTACATATGTGTGTGCATTAAAAAACATACAGCTCTGTGTGAGGCCACAGAGCAGTCTGGTGGCTTATGGAGGGAGGACCATGAGTGGCTGGGGCATAAGATGGATAGTTATTTTTCCTGGCTCTGCCTTTTTTACACTTTGAATTTTGAATCACAAGTATTATCAATTCAAAAATTAACTTCAGAGAGCATGGGATAAAATACAACAGAATTCTATGAAGTCATGAAAGAGAATAAGGCAGGTCTGTGTGGGTCGATAGCAGACCCGCAAGATACAGTAAGAGAATAAAAACGAACAAAAAGGACAGGCGTGGAACGATGCATGGGATACGACCCCTTTATGGAAACTTCAGAAAAGATATGCCCATATTTACATTCAGCACACAAAAAAGCATCGTTTTTTTCTTAGAAGGGTATACAAGGAAAAACAAGTTAATCATAGCTCTTTCTGGAGAGAGAGATGTGAGAGACGCTCGTTTTTCATTTTAAAGCCTATGCTGTTAGATTTTCTGATCATAAGCAAGTGGTTACCTGCTAGAATTTTGGGTCATTTTTTGTTTCTATCTTGACACGTGTCCACGTTAAAAAAAACCCCACAAATTATGATTTTAAAAAACAATAACATGCAGTGTTTGTAAAAGGGCAGCGAAATGAGCCCTGACAGGACTAGAAATTTGGCACAATTCTTGGGAAAAGAGTTTGGCAACTTCTATATCATCGAGTCTTTAAAAAGTTCCTACCTTTTAACTTGTTAATTCCATCTTTAGAACTATCTTAAGAAATACTATTAAAAGAAAAAAAATTAAAACAAGCTAAATTTCTAACCATAGGGATAAGTGAATTAAACTGTGGTAAGTCATTCATTGGCTATCATTGTTTTTAGATTTTTATGGTCAGCTTAAAAAGTTAAATATAAAACGTAGAAAAGAAGATTACACGTACGATTGATTTTCCAGGAAGATACTACACACAGACGTGAAAAGTGGCAGCGTCTCTGTGGCAAGCTTCGGGGTAAGTTCTTTATTCTCCTTATGACTGTCTGTACGCCCCCACTTTCCCATGGTGCGAGTATATCATCTTAGTAATCAGACGACAATACCTATTATTTATGAAATGCCTTTTTAGAAGCAAAATCTTACCAGAGGAGGAAGTTTTCCTTCGATTAAAAGCAGCGTATCTCCAGAACGTATCGTAAGCTCTGTCAGTGCTGCACCCTGGGAACACAGAAATTCTTTTCGTCATTTATGGCTTCTGTGAAGAACAGACTGACAACCAGACCTTTTTCAAAAACCTGATGTCTCTAATACTCTTTCAAGAACTAAATAAATGAATAATAAAGCAGATGTTGAAGAGTAGGAAATAAGCTAAGACTGTAAAAGAGTGTATCATATATTAAATTATGGGATATGAACTCTAAGTATCATAAAAGATTAGAGGAAAGAGAGAGAGACGAAATGAGAAATGATGAGAGTCAGATTTACGGAAAATGAAATTTTAGTTAAGCCTAAATAGATAGATTGGATTTGGAAGGCTGGAGGAAACGAGAAGAAAGTCTGTGAAGAAGAGCACAGAACAAAGTCAAGCCTAAGTCAAGAATAAGCAGGGCTGGTTCTGGGGAAGAGCAAAGAGACTAGACTGATTAGAGTGGAAAGTATCAGCTGGAAAATAACAGGATGAAGGGATGTGGAGTAGGGAAAAAAAAGTTTTCAGGTGTTTTGGAAAAAGCCCCTTAAAACTGTGGAGAAAGGGTTTTAAAAAATCAATGTGACATGCTGAAGTGGGGACACCTGGGCTCGGGAAGCCAGTTTTAGTCATTTAGTAACAGGCGAAAGAAGGGACCGAGCCAGGAGGCCAGCAGAAGAGACGGTCAGGCCTGGGACACAAACGGGCCTGCAGGCTGAGCCCAGGCATGCAGGCAGGCAGGTGAGGATGGTGGGCTGCCTTTCAGGCTTAAAGAGCAGGACGAGAGACAGACAGCAAACCTGGGACGAGGAGCCAGCTGGCAGAATAATGAGTGCTCTCAACGACTCCTGAGCTGTTCCCTAGCAACATGGGAACCGCGGAGAGGAAAATGCGGAAGCCACCTGACTAAATGCAGGCCCCCAACGTCCAAACTGTCTTAAAGTTTCTCTGAGGTTCACTTCTTACTCTAGGCAGTCAGATTCCTGGCCAAAACTCAAGAGGGCCCTCTCTCCATTATTACTGACTGCCATGCAGGAAAGAGTATCACAGGGTATGGCTCCAGGACACCTGCTTAAATCAACCTCTGTCAATGCCCAAGGCCACTGTCTATTACTGAGCAAAAAGCAGGCAGGTAAGGACTAGGGACAGGGTGGCTGACCACGACTGTCTGAGCTTTCTCACAAGCTTCGTTTTGGGTCTCCTCCTTCGGCCACAGTAAAATTAACCAGACTCTATCTCTTATGATAAAATTATACCCTATGACTTTTGCTGGATCCAGAGATGTAATTTAGATCAGAGCCTACGTGACTGGTTGGTAAGATGAATTCTGCCATCAAATTACAGAGAAACTCTGAGTTTAAAATATGCAGGTTTCAAAATTCAGAGTGTATTTTCAAGTTCTTTCATTAGTTCAAATGCCTTTTGTTCTCTGACGTTCTCTGCCTCCTAATGAAGAACTAGCATTCCTAGGGATATATTCTCTTATCAAAAGAGGACTTAACACAGACATTAGAAATGCTCCCACTTAGCTGAGACTTGTCCCTCTGACACGCTATCAAAACACTACAGCAAGGAAAAAGTGAAAGTAGACCCATGTATAGATTTTTGTAACCTAAAAAAATTAAAGTTTTTATTCACATGAGTCGGGTGGGTATCCTGTATGAAAATACCAAGAAACACAATAATTTTTAAGAATGAAATGTATAGAAATATCTTACTTCTTCACATAAAGGCTCCCCAGCTTCATAGCACCAATCCATTTTTCGTAAATGCCACTTGTCTCCTATGAAGGAATCAAAATCAAGATAAAAAAAAATTGAGGAAAATATATTCTGAGAGTTTGTCAGGAATGACTCTCCTGGGTAAATAAATGTCCAATGGGATTTGATCTAATAATTATTTATTAATTTTTAAAGTAAATTATCCCTTCTGGAGCATGAAAAAATTAAGTTGTTCCCCTAATACGGTTAATTTTCTCTCTATTCTACCAAGAACAGATGTGTAATTGTATATAATTAATGTATACTTGCAAATAAAAATAACACTTGCTACAGTATCTATATTATACAGTATCTATATTATGCCTTTATCATTTACATGTACACATATATACATCACACGAGTATAGATGTATGTACGTATACACATCAGTACAGAATCTCTTCTAAAATCATCATGAAGTTGTTTCATTTCACTCTCTTTGCCTAAAGCATGTGCTGACATCACTTGGCAAATGATAACATGTACAACGAAACTGTTTCTACCCAGTTAGCAGTTAGGCTAACAAAAAATAGTGCTTTTGGAATAGCATTTAATGAAGTTGGTATAAATGAACATTTATAAATGTTAAATAGTCTTTAATTCAATTTGTCTTTCACATGCTTGCCACTGACGAAATGGGAGGAGACTTTTCTGAGGAGTAGGAGCTGAGTGGGGAGACGTCGGAAGTCTCGGTTATGAAAAACATAGCAATAGAAACAGTTGACTCCCCTTCCTGCCAAAAGGAATTACAGGCAAAGGAACAAACACATATCTGATATCTATTCTGCATAGGCCACAGGTTTTGCATCCCAGTACTGTTCTTTGCAGACCTTTTTTGTCATTAGTTCTAGTTTTAAATACAGTAAGAGTTATATCAATATTTAAGTTTTTTTAAAAAAATGCCAGTAAGTTAAAAGTGAACACCATTACTTCATAGCACAGCATGGTGGAAAGAACTCGGGTTCTGAAATCAGGGACCTGGCCACTTGCTGTGTAACTCTGGGTAAGCCATTTAACCATTCTCAGCCTCTCTCTCTCACCTGTAAAATGGGAACAGGTGATAATCCTCGCGTGGGAGGACGACTGTCGAGGTGAAAAGCAGTACTGCACGTTAAGCCCCTAGAAGAGTATCCTACGCCCAGAGCATGTCACCTTCCCGTCCAGACAGTGGAGCCACAGCTTCCACTCGAATCAAGTCTGAGAATGGCAAAGCAGTAGGACGAACGCAGCGGGACGCCTCAGCAAGCTCGCCAATGTGACTCCCCCGGGAAGCTGCTTCGCAATACCCTGCATTTAGGTCTCTCATGTGCATTATATTCCCTAATCCATGCCACAAAAACACTGGCATGAAACACAATGCACTGAAATTCTGAATCAGTGAGGTTAAAAAATAAATCAATGGAAGACCTGGGTAATTCCATAGGGTGTAAATCTTAACTTTATCTCTTTTGTGCCTTTGCTGGATCCTATCTAGCGTCTCCTTCCTCAGAGGGAGGCTAACACTAGTTTTCTTGTAGCTTGCAAACAAGAACCAGGAGAATTCATGGTTCTTGGATGGAAAGTGTAACTGACAAGCCTGGCAAAAAAAAGTTCGAGAAGTTTTCATCAGGCTCATACTATAAATAAAGGGTGTGGGTAAGATTATACACCATCACGACCTGTAACGTACCTGCTAGGCCAGATTTCTCCAGCATTATCTTTAAGCACTGTAAAAAAAAAAAATATGTTCATTAGTTTCTTGTTTCTGAGTTACAGTACTGTGAGAAACAACCTTTTGGACCCTGGGCCAATTAAATCCGATTACACCTAATCCTCAGCAGATAAAGATACACATAGTAAAGATGATTCAGTAAACTCTTCCTCCTGAAAACTGGGTAGGGCCAGCTCAGGAGGGAGAAAGTCACCTGTGCTTCTACCCAGAATGCACTGCAAAGCTTTGTTCATCCGCTTCCAGGTCTGCAGTAGGACTGACTCTCTTTATAGTAAGATTAATTGGGCTGATTTAACAGATACACGTTAAACTTTGAATACTATAAAAGGAGATTAGCCTGTAATTGGCACCCATGAAACACAACTAGTGACATATAAACTAGCAAGGAAAGAATTGTGTAAGCTGTGATCTCACGAAACAAATAAATGAGACGCAATTAATAGAAGTTTAAATAAACAAAATACTTAAAAACTCCCAACTCCCTAGGAGGAAAAACAATCTTAAATAAATGTAGGCCAAAACAGTAAACAGCATTTGATTTATGCTGATCACTTTGTGCTGCGCGGAGTAAGAAAAAAGTCAAACAAAATATCCTTTAACATGGGAACATTTCAATAAACTATGAAAAGTCTTAAACCAATTAAAAAGATAACACATTGCTATGTACCAGTCTAAAAGATCTTTAAAATAGTTTGAGTGAAACAAAATTCTAGCATAATACATGCAGCATGATCTCATTTTATTATTATTATTATTTACACCTACAGCACCTGGTCTTCCTACGTGGTCTCCCATCCAAGTACTGACCAGGCCCGACCCTGCTTAGCTTCTGCGATCAGACATCGGGCTTCTTCAGGGTGGCATGGCCGTAGACCATTGATGGTGGCTCCACGGGGTGTGAACCCAGGACCTTCTGTATGTAAAGCAAACGTGCTAACCACTATACTATGGAACCACATCCAGCATGATCCCATTTATGATTTAAGAGACCATACAAACAGGTTAAGCTCTTCATCTCTATGTGCACAAACATATCCACATGTTGGTATCTGCACGGCAAAGGCACAGAAGGGCACATACTCTATTGAATTTGGATAAAATTATGTCATTCAATGACAATAGTGACTTCTGGGGAAGGGAACAGAATAGGGTGGCGAGCAAGGAGGATTTTTTTAACCCCTCCCTAAAGTTTAAAAAATAAGAAAAAATCCACTATTACTTGTATGATTAAAAATAAAAAAGACTTTAAAATACTAAAGGTTATTTAGAAAATAATGGCAATGAAAACATAAGGAATGTGACCAAAGCTGTATTCAGAGAAAATCGGTCTTAAAGGCTTTCCATTATTTAACTAAAACATACAAGTGAGCATTCAACTTAATTGTGTTCCAGGCAGAGGAAACAGCCAAGGAAAAGGCCTGTTTGAGGAACAGCACGAGGCCAATGCAGCTGGAGTAGAGTTTGTGAGAGGGGAGAGTAGTTGGAGGTTTTTTTTGTTTTCGTTTTTAAAAAGATACCAGAGGGCCAGAGAACACAGGCATCGTAAGGTCACTTGGGGACTCAGGATCCTACCGCAGGATCCTGAGTAGAGGAGACACTGATGTGACTTACACCTTATAGCCCACCCAGCTTCTCTGTAAGAACAGGTCCTAGGGGGTGCAGGGATGGAAGGAAGAAACTGCTGGAACAACCCGGACAAGAGATGACCAGGGTGACAGCAGAGGAGGGAATGAGATTTGGTCAGATCCTAGATAAATCCCGATGACAGAACCAAAAGGATTTCCTGAAAAATTGGATGTGAAGTAAGACATTAAAGAATCAAGGATGATGACAAGGGTTTTGGCCTAAGCAAGTAGAAAAATGGAGTCGCACATCTGATATGATCAGGAGTGCCGTCATGGGGTGTTATAATTGGGACGACTACAAGGCAACCAAGTAGCAGCTGGATATATAGGTGTAGAGTTCTGGGGTGAGGTCCAGTCTAAGAACTGAGCACGAAGGTGCTCATGGGTAGAGAGAAGAAGAAGGAGCGAACTGAGAAGGGGCAGGCAGGAAAACCTAGCTGTGCTCTTCTGGAAGCAAGCGACCAGTGTTTCAAAGAACAGTCATCGAGCGCGCCCAGAGCTGCTGAGAGAGCAACACGAAGACTGAGAACTGCCCATCGCCTTGGCCTGCAGGCTGCTGCCGGCCGCGATGAGAGCTGCCTCGGCGGGGTGAGGGGAACAAGGCTGCCCCCGGCGGGTTCAAGAGAGAACAGAAAGATGTACACGTCACTCTTGAAGAGTTTTATCGTTTCCTTTCTTTAAAATTAAAAAAACACTAAAGTTAAAAGGCAAATGAAAAATGTGAAAATATTCACAGCAAATAACAAAGGGTTAAAAAATTATTTAAAAATTGTTTTCTCATGGAAAATTTCAAACACATGGAGAGGACAGTAAAATGAATCCTCAAGTGTCCATCACCCAAATCCTGTTTGCCAGTACCCCAACCCACTGAACCTGTATTGACTTCCTCCCGCCCCAATTCTCTTGAAGCAAATGTGACATATATAATTTCATTGATTAATAATTGGTCTCATCTCTAAAAGATGACAATTCTTTAAAAAAAAAAAGACCCTAAAATAAATATGACATCTAAAAATACTGAATTCCTTAATAACAAATACGTAGTGTTCAAATTTCCCTTTCTCTTAAACTAGTATTAAAATGACTCAACAGCAGATTGAAGTCCACACGCTGCAGCTGCTTGGCACATCTCCTAAGTACCTCTCAGCCACAGACCAACTCGCCCGCAGTGCTTTCCGGAAGAGCAATCTACCCCCGAGCTAGGCTGACTCAGGCCTGTGGTGCCTTTAGCACATCCCTCTGCCCCCCGCACTTCTAATAAACTGGTCCTCACACCTACAGTCTCGATCGGACTCAGGTCTAGTTTGGGTTTTTTTTTTTTTTTGGCAAGAAAAGCATGGATACTGTTTCAAATTTCTATAATGTCTGGGTGTTTCTCTTTTTGGGTTGTTAGCAGTCTTTCAAGATCATTGTCTAGATCCATTAAATCATTTGGAAAACTGTGATAGTCTAAAATTCTTTCTTCATTTTATTAGCTGGGGTATGCGCGCGTGCGCGTACACACACACACACACACACACACACACACACACACACACACACACACACCCCTTTTATTATCTACTTGGCTGCCCTGAAGTATAGCTGCAAAACAAAAACAGGATAAATGCTGATTCTTTCATTTAAGGTTGCCAAACATCCATCTGGTTATTCATATGTAATCAATGAATAGGGTACTTTTTAGGACCGTATGAACTCGTGGATTTCATCAATTTTCATTATTTTTCCCACTGAGATTCAAACCATCTTGGCTTTAATCGGGGGGAGCCTCTTCAAGTTGGCTCCTGAGTCTCCTGGACGCCAGTAGTCTGCTGGCTTCACTGTTTTCCATTCTGCCAAGATGCTCCAGGCTCATCTTACACTTTGCTGACCTAGACACAGAACCAGCCAGACTGCAAGAAGCCCTGGTTCCTTCTAGTAGGAAATGGAGTTTAGTGACCACAATCTGGGTGTTGGGTGCTCAGTACTGTCAAGTTGTTGTTGCTATTCTAAGCTATTTTGGGGGCAAGAACTAGAAAAATATTTGTTTAAAGAAAAAAATACATCAAGTTCACTTGACTCTTCAGGAGTACAGTCTTAATTTAAGCACACTGATGTTACTCTGCCTCTCCGTTTCCCAACACAGATAGTCCCAGTTCTCAGTCCCACCAACGTAGTTATGTGCTTGCTTTATCACGCATTCATACCTCTGTATGCAATTACGTGTGTATGTAAAGTAAAAACACAAAGGAAATATGCCAAAATGTTAATATTAGTGGGATAAGAGATGAGGGATTTTAATTTTTCCTTTTAATCCATTTCTACATATCCCCAATTCCTACCATTAACAAGTATTAGTGATAATCAAAAAGGAAAATAATAAGAATCTAATTTAAAAAATTCCAGCCAGTTCACCAATTTTCAAGCTCCCCAAACTACTCTTTCAGTGAGTACACAGATTTCTTTAAAGTACATTTTGTAAACCTGAGTCTTAGGACCTCCAAGATCTAACACAGGTCACCACTGTTTCCTACACCAAACACTCACAGACCTCTTCCCCCAAAACAAAGTAACATTACTCACATCTCTTACAGATATGGTTTCTTCTACTATGATCTCCATCTCTGTCCCAGGTTGAATGTCACTTCCCACAGCGAAAAACAGGAACAGCTAAGATCAAGACAGCGTATGAATGCAACTTAATCTAAATTTTAAAATTCTATAAATGTAGTATTTACTTCCAAAAAAGAGAAGCCAATAGTCCATAAAACTTTAATAAAAATTTCAAATGATGTAAAAACAAGACTATACTGTGTAATTTAATGTTACAATTTAGACAATAATCTCAGCTTCCTAGAAATGTCAAGATGCTTCATTACCAATGGCTTTAATCCTAATAAACGCCTCTCACAGATATTATTTATTCTGCTACGATCTCCATCTCTTTCTTGATCATTCCTCAAAGGGATCTGCAATTACTATACACTGTAAGCATTAATTGTGTTTTTCCTCTAAGTCATTTGATCATGACCTTATTTTCTGTCCAGGGATTCTATATAAAATTTCCCACGACTCCTTATGAAAAATATAAATCTGATCTCTTGTCCATCCAGTTCTTTGTAGCCCTGCTTTTCTTTTCTAAGTCATCTAAGTCAAAGTCACTTGTCACGTCCCAAGCCCCTCCTCAGCCTGTCCTGCGCTACTTGCTAGAGTTCAGGGGAAGAACAAATGAAAGGGGAGGGGCTTAGGAAACGAATAATGTGGACTTAGGAACCCTGGAGATCCTGATATGAATCTAGCTTAACTTGATACAGAGTCTTAACAGTAAGGACATAAATGTGGCTTTTGGACTGTAATAAAAGTTTACTAATTAGGTAGGGCTTCTGGCAAAGGTCAACCAGACAGTATTTTATAGAAAAAAAGGGACACTGATAATGACAAAGCTGCTATGAGACTATGATATTACTGCAGAGAGTAATTAAATCCAAAATCAACATACTGTATTTCATTAAATCTAAAATGCATGGTTATTAATCATTATTTTCTGTACCACAAAGAAAAAACATAGTCAGCTATAATTGAAGGATGCCACTGATTTTAAGATGCAGCCTAATCTCGCAAGTGCTAAAATGTGAGGGAAAAACAGGTGCATTTTAGAATTTATGAAATATGGTTGAAACTGGTAGCCACTCAACTTTAAAGATCCCCCTTAATCACAGAATTCTCATAGAAAAAGAATCTTATGAATATGCTTTGCCATAATACTTTTGATTTAAACACAGAGAACAATATGGATGTACCCCTAAAATAAAAGGTATTGTTTAAGGAAAAGAAAACTTTTAAGAAAAACAATATGACTGCACTATTTAAGGTATAAATGATCAAATTAAGAACCTCTGACTACAGGAAGGTTGATTTTGTTCTGTCAGGAGACTTCGTGTTACCTGAGAGGAAGTTGGGGCTTTTCCAGGACACAATCCCAATGAACTCCCCATCTTCAATTCTGCTTCCTTCAAAGTGTAACTGTCTGGCACTATGAAGAATTTTGATAATATAATGAATGTTATTAATTTCTACCTGACTGGGCAAAATAATATACTGAAATCAGCCTTTCTTTGAACATCAAGAATGTAAAGAAAGAAAAAAAAAAAAAGTTCCATTCCAAGCAAAAAGATTACATATACTGTAGTTACATTTGATTTTAAATTTCCATACTCTATATTATTCTTGTTTTCTGTACAATAATGCCAAGAAAGAAGGGCTGTTGTTTACACAGATTAAAAGATACTCTGAATGGATTCACGATGGACTAGCTTCTTCTGAGTTTAAAGCTGCTATGGTAACTACCATCAATAATTAGACTAAATTAAGTCTGATGATGAGATGTGTGACAGAGGTGAGAACAAAGACTATTTCATGACAGGTATCTGAATAAAGTTAGCAAAACCAATAAAAAACTGACAATAGATCTAGAAAGACATAACTAGATCAAAACCATGACTAAGGTGAGGATCAGCTAATCAGAAGTCAAGTGTTTTACTTCAGAAAACTGAAGGGTTTGAATATTTGGTTAATTCATGAGAACACCCGGATGACGACATGTTCTAGAAATCAGTTTCTAAAAGACAATTTGAGAATATTAGAAATTGGAAGCCAGTTTTTAAAACAGAAATGTTAAGCAAGCTAGACGGCATGAATCCGTGTCTGCTTTTGAAGGCTACCACAAGGGTTTACCTGGGCAGAGGAGCTTCCCATTTCTATCGAATGGTCTCAAACAGCTGTTCTCAGCTATGAATAAAAAGAACTTGGTCAGTGCACCGAGGAAAACTGAAGAGAGATTCTCTACTGTGTTAATTAGCAGGAAGCTACAATAAGCTCAAAAAACAAAAAGTACATAAACAAACAAACAAAAACTCCAACAACCAAAAAAAACAAGAACAAGCAGTCTTCACTTTGCACAATGTGCAGGAATGTAAGAATGCCTGCGAAAGCTGAAATTGTGCACATCAATCTTAACAACAATGAGAAAAATTACAATTGTTCATGATCTTTAGAGATGTCTGTCGAAACATTTAAAACTCAGTTATACATATATAGTGAAATGAAAAAGACAGTAAAACTAATATTCACATTGTAATTTAAAATGCTAGAAACTCTGAGAATTAAAATGTTTTATTTCTTTGTAAAAAAACATATCAAAAAGAGTTCAAACAGGGCTTGCCACCTTCTCATTGTATAGCTTATGATACAAAGGGAGTATCTTTTCTATTTCCTAGCAAACTGTCATACTCTAAGCTTGAGGCAGCTTCTAGAATTTTCTTTTGTGCTTTCAATCTCATGAAATATCTCCAAGAACTCCTTTACTGCGAAGTGTTGTTTTGCCAGTGTCACTCTCCCTGGGATTTCTTTACCCTTTCGGTCACACATTCCTCACTTGGGTCTGTAAGTTCACGTTCATTAAGTTCCTCCATACTTTCATTACTTTGCTGAACTTTCATCTTTGCCGGCCAATTCGATTACCCATTCTTGTAACATTTCATGTGGATTTACCACTGGGAGAAAAGGAGGCAATGAACTATACACACTTGGCCATCTGTGTGGTGAAATTATGTAGTGGCCAATCACTGACAGATCTGAAGGAGTGAAGTAACTGATCACTGATCACGATGCAATCTGTTATTTATGTAGTGACTTGTGGACTAGAGCTAGTAACAAAGTTTGTACTTTTTGCAATTACTCAGTTAAATCCGATGGTAGCTGAAATTTGAACCATGTTGCTGGGTAACTAATGTTATATAACAAACTGTGATAACTGAAACTCATTGCATATTGAACTGTGCAGGTAGAGACTGTCTATACTTAAAATGTTAGATGATTTTTATGCCTATTAAATGGATTAGGGCCAGTGTGTCCTATTTATGAGGATGCACAGATTCCTGCTTTGTGAGAAGGAGCATGCCTGGTTTAGTACAAACAGAATTTTTACGAAGTTGGACATGGAGGGGGAGGTTGGGAGGGGGCAGAGCCTTCTAAGAGGGCGAGAATGGCCTGGGATTTGAAGCTCTAACTTTATTAGACCCCAGCAGAATCTCCTTCCGAGGTTCCTGAGTCCTGTACCTTTTACTACAGTAATGTGAAGCTAGTATACAATTCTAACACAAATTTCTTGACAACTCAATCAGCGTATGAAAAGAATTCTCCAATTTAAAAAAATGCTTTTAAATATTGTCTCCTTTTTTTTCACTTTTATTCAGAAAACACTGTGCATCTTCTCGATGCCAGGCATCGTACCAGAAGCTGACATCACAGCAGTACTGACGCAGCCATGCTAACTAACCTCGAGGAGCTTGTCAGTGCGGGAGGTGGACAGTGACCATGTAAGTGCCACGAGAAGTACAGGGTGTTGAGAGTAAGGCAGAGACATTCACTGAGACTGTGTGGTCAGGGATGACCGGAGAAGCAAAATTTCATTCATTCACCAAATGCATGAAGTTAGTAGAGGAGGAAGAGTAACGGGGAGAGAGACCACAGAGAGATGACAGAACTGAGAGGTCTCAGGTGGAAGCGAGCCCGAGCACTAGAAACTCAGCTGGCAAGGGAAGAGTGCCGTGACCACGCGGGAGAGGAGCAGCAACGGGGCTGGTTAGGTAGTGGTCTTCAGGGACTTATAGGCCGCGTTGGAAAGCAGCCTGTGTCTGATGGACAAGCGCTGCAGGGCTCTTGTGGAGTGACAACACCTGAGTCACAGACATTTAAGATCACCTGCCATATGAAGACTGGCTTGAAGGAGGCAAGAGTAGGAGAGTTGTTACATGCAAAGACAATACACTTCGTTTAAATAAACCACATACTTTAAATCAAATTTTTTGAAGTGTAATTTACTTATAATAAAACACAGCCAGTTTAAGTGTACAATTCAAAGAGTGTGACATAAACACTTGGCGACCACCAGCAAATTGAGATATAATTTGCATCACTAAAAAAAAAATTCCCTCGTGCCACTTTGTAATCAATCTTCTATCTCTCAATTCTGACCTGCCTCTGTAATTAGAGCTTAGGTCTTCTTTTTAAAAATTTTCATAGAAACAGAATTATAAGAGTACATCTCACTTCACTGGCTGGGCATGATCTCTGAGATCCATTCATGCTTTGCATGCGGTGGTGGTTCACTGCATTTACTGTGTGGAACATCCCGTTGCACAGATATGCCACAATTTCTTCATTCACTCGCCTACTCATGGACATTTGGGTTGTTTCCAGTTTTTGGTTATGCACATTTACATACAGCATTTGTAAGGATATATGTTTAATTCTTCTTGGGTAGACATCTAGGAGAATTGGCAAGTGAATGCTTATGGTCATAATAAACAGGCTAACTCTTAACCAGAGTGACTACCTTAATATGGCCCCATCAGCAATACGTGGTAGTTGCAACTGCCCTACATCTTTGCTGCCACTTGGTTTTGTCAGTATTTAAAATTTTAATCATTCTTGGGGTGTGTAGTAGGGTGTCATTATGGTTTTAGCTTGATGGCTAATGCTACCAAGCATCTTTCCCTGCCTATCGCTCATTCACAGGTAGGTCTTCTTTTTTAAAGTGTCCTCCCAATTTGGACTGGGTTTTTGGACTTCTGATCAAGTTACAAGTATTTTTTATATATCTTGATGTAAGTCTATTGTCAAATATGTTTTATAATTTTTCTCCCAGTTTGTGGCTTGTTTTTTCAAGTGCGTTAAAAGGAATAGAAGTTCTGAATTTCGATGTAGTCCAATTTATTAGTTTTCTCTTTCATGGTTTGTACTTTTTGAGTCTTATCTAAAAAAAATCTTTTCCTTACAGTAAAAGTAACAAAAATTTTCTCATGTTTACTCTCAGAAATTTTATAGTTTTACATTTTAACATTTAGGCCCATGATCCATTTTGAATCAGAGTTTTATACAATGTAAGGCAAAAGCTTGAGATTCATTTTTGCATCATCGGTTCAG